AGGTGGGGATCTTCTGCAGATAGTTTTGCAATTTTGCCAACACCATTTGTTAAAAAGGCTGTCATTTCCCCAACTAACTGATTTCATCTCCTTGTCAAAAATCAGTTGACCATAAATAGATGGGCTGATTTCTGGGTTCTCAATTCTATTCCGTTGATCTGTCTGTCTGTCATTGTACTAGTACCATGCTGTCTTAACTACCACAGCAGTGTAGTAGGATTTTAAATCAGGGAGTGAGGTGCCTCCCACCTTTTTTCTATTTTTAAGGAATGCTTTGCTTATTCGGGGCTTAAAAGAAGGCAATATTCTTTTATAAGACATCAACAGTCATGTCTCTTTTCCACCTAGCACCCAACCACTTTGTGTAGACAGATTTTGTCATGTTTGATCAGTTACAAAGTAATTGATTCCAACTCCAAATGTGATTGATTATAAGGTGCTGAGAGGACTAGTTTTTCAACTTTCCATTTCATTTTTAAAATACTTGTTAATTTTAAATAAATACCTGTGAAAAGTATTAAATAAATTAATAAAAAATATCAAATACTTGTAAAAAAGAATTGTTCTCCCAGCACTATTATAATAAAAGGTAACTTACAGTTCGATACCCTTAGAGATATCCTCATATTTTTCTATTTACTTTGTTTTAGCTCACTAATTCCAGAGTGTAATTTTCAGAGTAAACACTTTGCTCCATTTCTTTGTTTACCCTTTTAATTGTATCTCTTTGAACATTGTGAGTATTAAATAGAAATCAGAAAACTCCACTTGTTGTTGTTAAGTTGGTTCCAATTCATGACCACTTCAGGTGAATCGTAATAGAGCTGTTATTCAGAAATTCTGTTGACTGCTTTTTAAGTCAATGAAAACTTAATGTTTGTTCCGAGTCCCTCTGAGTGAATGTAGACCTCCAAGCTTTGGAACCGCAGTCAAAAGTGTTAATTGTTTCTATCACCAGTGATACAGTCTGGAAAACTGCTGATTGTGTGTGTGTGTTTTATCTGTTTTTGAGTTGAAACTGTTGTGACAACACCTAGCAACAAAACCATCAGTATTATGATTGTGACCATTATTTGTGTTGTTGCGTGATTCTTTTTTATTGCTCTTTTGGATTCCTGATGTACTTATTATTTAAGAACTGTTGATAAACAATTTTACTGTATTGAGGAACTATTAGTATTAATGAATAAACTTTTCTTTTTATATGACTATGAGATGGATGATTTTAGGGTTTTCATATGTTAACTGTCCGTAAATAATATTAAATATGTTTCTTTGAAACAAGTTTGAGGTGGGAAGAATGATGTTATCATATGAGGATAATAATCAATATCATGAAATAATTGTTGAATGGAAAGTCAATTTGCTTTGTAAACATTACACAAATCATGATAAAAAGTTTAGTATTAAATCTTCTAGATATTTATTATTTTTAGAGTTTTATTTTTTTATTAGTAGAGATCCTGGATACTGGCCCTTTGTAGCATTGAGCAGGGGACTAAATCTAAGAGCCTTGAGCACTTGTCTGAGACTTAGGGTCATCCAGTCTCAGTTTTGCTCTCTCCTGAAATTAAATTCCTTAACTAGTTTGAGAGTGTTTTCAATTTTGAATACTTTTTGGGATGAAAACTTTGAGAGGACAATAGTTTCTCATTCATATACATTTTGTTTCCTTTTTAATTGGGTATAATCCTTTCAATTTAACAGCATTCTTTGTACATCCTTCCTGAGTTTATGTTTCCATTGACCTATCTTTCCAGTCCTTTCGGCCTTCTAAACTTCATTTTCAGGCAGATGCTGCTCTTTTTATTCTGAGAAGTATTTTCTCAGTATGTTTATTTGATTGACCTCTTATTTTGGTTAGCCTACTTTCCAGGAATAGGTTAAGTTCTAAGTTTGAAAGGGGTCTAAGGGCCATAGTCTAGGGTATCACACATTTGGACATTTTCTCCAATGATTTTTATGTTTTTCTTCCCCTCTCTCCAGAACCTATTGTGATCACTGTCAGACTAATGATAGATAGCTGGCCACCCTCGAGTTCTTCTTGGACTGAGGACTGCTATGGCTCTTTTACTCTGTTGATACTTTGGACCATTCCCTTGAATCTTTTTCTTTTTTTATTGTTCTCTTTTTTTTCCCTCTCAGGTTAGGCAAAGGCCAATACTTTTATTTATATTAGATGGTTTGTAATATCTGTGACCCATTTGCTATTTAACTTGAGGATGTATAATACTATCTTTATGTACTGTGTTTTTCCAAGTAATTGTCCTAGATGTCTTCATGTTTAGGTCCTAACCCATAATAGTTAGTAATTGAGTCCAGTCCCTCAGCGTGCTTAGTTGTACCTAAAAAGCTTGCATAGATTTTCAACCTCCGTATGCTCTACTGGATTTATTTGCAAACATATAAATATAGAGAGTATAACCTGTGCTAAACCTACATAATCTTATGAATGTATTCCTATACCCTCTCTCCAAATTCTTTATTGTTTTTTTGTGTGCCCAATATTCCGTTATGTGAATGTACCATATGTAGAGTATATTCATATAATTATGTGCATTTACATAATTAAGTTTAATCTGTGACTTAGGGAGCTGTGGTGTCTTAGTGGTAAAGGATTGTGCTGCCAGTGCAAAGCTGTGTGGTTCGCGGGAGAAAAATGGGCACTCAATTTCCGTGTAATGTACTCCCTCTGAAAATCTGCGAGTCAGCTGTGGATCAATTCCAACTCTGCGGTATACAGCCACCACCACCACCATGCTTATTTTAGGCATTTGTTCTTTGATGGACACTTGAGTTTTTTCCAACAGTTTGCTATTGTAAATAATGCTGAGGTAAACATGTTAGTGTGTGTTGCCATTCTTATTTCTTTGGTATTTATACCTAGGAGTGGGATTGCTGGATCAAATGGTATTTGTATTTACAACTTTCTAAGGACAATTCACTTTCTAATGCATCCACTTCAGAAATGGCTTGCCTCTGGAAACTCTATGAGCAGTACTTAGGCCTTTTGTTCATAGGATCGCTATGAGTCATCTATGACTCTGCGGCACCTAACAATGACAACAATGACAAATCAAACACTTTACTTAGTGGTTGCACCACTTTATAGTCCCATTAGCAGTGTATAAGAGTTCTCATTTCTGTACAACCTTACCAGCATTTATAAAAAAATGTTCTTTTTTTTCCCCTATATGTTTGTTGCTAATTTATAGAAATAAAATTGGTTTGTTTTTTATTATTCCCTTAACTCAATGATACTATTATGTTAACTTACTAATTCTTCCCGTTTACTGCCTCTAAAAACCATTTGAATGGTCAACTATGAGTATTTTTCAAATTGACACTAAATACTGTTTTTATTATCCTATGTACTGAATATATTATAACATGCACTAAAATTGGTAGCACATTATGCTTCTTAATTGTAGGCCTCCAGAACTCCTTATTAATCAGAAGCTACAAGCCAACATAATCATAAATGCTCATTCCATTATATAAATCCATACTGTTTGATATTAACAGCTCTATCCTGGCTCTTTTCCCCAATTTCTCTATAGTCTTTTGGGCTCAATAAAAAGATTTGCTAGAAGATCCCAGAGACTCAGACCCATAAGGGGAATGACTTCCATGACTGCAGGTATGCAGTCCAGTTTTTTCTTTTCTTTCCAGAAACTGGTGCGCAATGGGCCAGGCTGGATGCTTAAATTGATATAAGTTGTGTGGCTGCTCCTGTGTTGGTGTTTTTCACACACTGCTCAGTGTGGAGAGTGTTGATATTGATACTCCAGCTTTTGCGGATTTGTGAGACCATGTGTCCTCAAGTAAAGTAGTTGGAGACCAGAGGGGGCTAGGATAATGGCTAAAAAAAGTCAACTTTAGGCCAACATGGCAATCAGTGCGCGCGCGCGCGCGCACACACACACACACACACACACACACTCTGTCGTGACATCTGTGAACAGTGTTAGATACTTTCAAAAATCTTTTTCTTGTTAAATTGTTTTATGTAGAACTTCTGTATTATTTCTGAAAAGAAAAGATCATCTTGTGTTCTCAACTTTATATTCCTTATATCTAGTTTTCTAAGTCTTAGGATAGAAATAGATATTATTGAAAACAAATTATCTAAAAATTCTCTGTGTAGCTTTTAGTAGATTGTATTACTTTTTTGTTCTGTTTGTAAATGTATTTATTTGCTTGGTTTGTAAATATATTGATTTACTTGGGTTTTTGTTGTTATGTTTCACCCACTTCACCACATCTTATAGCCCTGAACCTTGCCCTATTCTGAGCCAGCCTTGCCTCTCTTGGCATCTCTGACCCCACTGCCATAGTCACTGTGTCTGTTCATCTCATCCAGGCACTTCCTTTCTTGCTTTGACTTTCTACTTTTCCCGACTTGATGTCGTCTAAGAACTGGCCCTTCTGACCACATGCCCAAAATATGTGAGGCAAAGGTTCAAAATCCTTGCCTCCAAGGTGCTACTTGGTTTCACCTTTTCCAGGACAGTTTTCTCATAAGTATTTTCAGCCTAACTGGCAAAAATTGGACATAGTTAAAATGGAAATTACTTGTATTATCTGAAGGGTACAAGTTTTCTGTAACTGCTTTCAGTAAAGGGCAATAATTTTCCCTCTTGAGGTGGGACTAGTATCTCTTATTAAATGTGAAGTGCAGATGTGTTTCATTTTTGGACCTAGAATGAGGTATGATTACTCCTTTCTTTAAAAGCAAAGCTTGAATTATTGACTTCAATAATTAAATTCTTGAAAGTTAAGTGAGATGTTATACTGTCATATGACTGTACAAAAAGGTGAAGGTTTTGTTTGTCTGAAGACGGAGGGTATTTCTTAATTATATAATAGTACATACAAACATTTTTTTTATCTTGAAAGTGCTTTTTAAAATTAATATTTGTAAGTTTCTGAAATGATCATTTTTGTTTTGTTAGATATTAATCATACAAACTCTACACTCAGATTACCCTAATTTTATTCTTTCTAATATACCTGTAAAAAGAGATAATTATAGCATCTTCTGATGTCCCATTGTCAAGGTTACTTTGGTTGATGTAAGTCCTGTTTTCAGCAGGTGGGTTTGGCTTCAGTTTCACCTAGTCTTCTTTTTTTTTTTGTAGACTCTCACTTAGTCTTTATATTTCCAGCTCTACGTGCTATCACTTTTCTGAGCCGTTCTTTTCTAACCTGTAGAGGAGAAACAGAGTCTCTGCTTCTGAGTGTAGTTCCTCTGTTGAATGCAGTAATTGATTAAATTAGTGCCATGAGATAATGCACACCAATACTGTTATCACCCTTGTAGTAATTATTGGATAAAATATTTGTAGTTCAGGCATGCTTGGTTTGTACTTACCTGATTAAGTTGTCAAATTAAGTTTTTATCAGACCTTTTTCCAAAAATTTCTTTCCAGAAATAATTAGTAAGCATTCAGTGGCTTTTAAAAGAATGTTCTTTGAATAACTCTGTCAAAGAAAGTGAAACAGAATTCTTTTCTAATGATATTTTTTGGTAGGCTAATGGGAGTGGGGTGTTATTTGGGTAGGAATTATTAAAGGAAATTTATGTTTATTTCTTAATGCTCAAATTATAATGCATATTTTGAATGACTTTTTTCTAAAAGTAAATGCTACTTCTTAAGGAAGTACTTAAAAAGCAGTAAGTATATACTAACTTTCCTTTTTCTTTAAGATTTGCAGATTTCTTAGATTTTCAATACTGTCATCATCAAGACACTTATTTCTACCTCAGATCTCTATATTTATAATAAAATCTGTATAAAGATTTCTATATTATATCCTAAACTTTTATCTTTTGACGTTAAAATGAACTGTAATTGTTGTAGAAAAATTGCGTCTATTCTGAGTGTATTTTTGCATGAATCCGATCTTTATCCTCTTTTTTTCTTTCCTTGTCTTATGCCAGTGAGTTCCTTCGGGGTTACTCCTGCAGTAGGTGGACTATCATCTGGGACAGTTGGGGAAGCCTCGACAGCCCTGAGTTCAGCAGCCCAGGTAGCTTTGCAGTCTCTCTCTCATGCAATGGCTTCAGCCGAGCAACAGCTGCAGGTGCTGCAAGAGAAACAGCAGCAGCTTTTGAAGCTTCAGCAACAGGTTGGAGACTATTTGGCTCTTTGTTCATGCTGTCTCTAAACTTCAAAAGCTGAAAAAATACTGTAAAAAAAAAAAAACCAAACATGACCATTATTTTCATAAAGGAAAATAGGGTGATCGAACTGAACTAATCATTTTCAACAGAAATGAGGTAAAGTCTTTGTGATATATTTAAAATTTGTTGAAATTACAGAAATACATATTGGAGGTAATTCTTATGTGTATGCAATCTTGAAATAAAATCCATTCCTGCTTTACTTAGATCAAGGATTACAGACCTGTTTTTATTTTCAGAAAAGTTACTGTAAAATAAATTTTAGTAACAAATGTAAGATATTTTACAGACTTTTTTCTGGTCTAATTTCAGCCTATGGCAGTTCCAGGTGATAAATTGAGATTTTTCATCATAAGATCTCCTATATATTAGTACTTATTTGAGCAGAACTTTGTTTATTTACATTTATTTAACAGTTCTGCCTACTGTTTACCTTTGGTTTTAAGAAAGTTCTATTTCTGAACGATTAAGGACATTTTATATTAATTGTTCAGGAATGTGTACTACGTAAATATTTAATTAAAGAAATACTCCAATAGTGTTATCTCTAATAATTTTAATTTCCTATTTAACTAGGATCCAGTTAATCATGATTATCTTCTAATTATATGCTGGGGTATTATTACCTCCATGGTTTTAGTAGGCAGGATTAGTCTATATATGTTGCTTCTACTTCTTTTACAGAAAGCAAAGCTGGAAGCCAAGTTGCATCAGACAACAGCTGCAGCAGCTGCAGTAGCATCAGCCGCATCGGCAGCATCAGCAGTAGCGCCTGTTCACAATTCTGTGCCTTCCAACCCAGTGGCAGCCCCTGGATTCTTCATTCATCCATCTGATGTTATCCCACCCACTCCAAAAACAACACCACTTTTTATGACTCCACCACTCACTCCACCCAATGAAGCAGTGTCTGTTGTGATTAATGCAGAACTTGCACAGCTTTTTCCAGGTTCAGTCATTGATCCCCCGACAGTCAATCTTGCAGCACATAACAAAAATTCCAACAAGTCAAGAATGGTAAATATTCATGTCTTGAATAGGTATTGTCATATACACTTAATTATTTTATAGACTACACTAACTTTAGATTATAAAATGGTATTTTTCAGAATTTAATATCATAATACTTTCTCACATTAAATACTATAGAAATGTAACTTGTCAGTTTGGTGCTATGGTTGGTAGTATTTACTTATAGAAAATAATATCAATATAGAGTTCTGTTTGTGTTCCTTTTGTAGAATCAACTTGGCTCTGGGCTAGCCCTTGCAATTTCTCATGCTTCACATTTCCTCCAGCCTCCACCTCACCAGTCCATTATTATAGAAAGAATGCATTCAGGTAATCTTTGATTTTCTGAAATTGTTTTTCTTCTTTGGCCTGCGGGTCCTTTTTAGACTCAGTGTCTTGCAGTTTGCTTTTCTCATGCTTGAAAATGTGGAAGGACAAAGAATGAGAGGAAGACCCTAAACAAGGTGAATTGACACAGTAATTCTAAGAGTGGGCCTCAGATAGATCACCAAAGTGGCACAGAATAGGGCAAAATGTAGATCCAGTACTCATTGGGTCCGTTTGATTTATAACTGACTGGATGGCACCTAACAACAAATAAGTGCTCTTCAGTGAATTCAAGTTTATAAACAATAAACATTAAAAAGAACTCACTCTCTTCTGAACAAATTAACAGAAACCTTCTTGCAGCTTCAATAATTCTTTACAAACAGTTGATTTGATTAGCATCTGTCTCTTGTAGAAATAATGTTACTAGCCCCTCCATTTTACTTGTTCAGTTATTATTTTATGAGTAAATACTCACCCACTCATTGCTCTTGAGTTAGTTCCACCTCATAGTGACCCCTATAAAACTTTTTCACAATGCTTCTGAGACCATAAATGTGGAAGAAGGGTCATCGTTCCTCCTTGGAGTATCTGGTAGATTCCATCTGTTGACCTTTCAATAATTATCCCAATGCTTAAACTTGTATACCACTGGGTATTCTTTAGAAAGTCCACTGAGGGACATATTCCCAAGATTGGTATTCTGGTAGTAGAATGATTTCCTGAACAGAGAAAATTACTGCATATTTTAGGAACTGTTGTCTTAACCCATACTGCTAACTGAAGGGCCACAGCACTCTTGGCTCAAATCCACCAGTGGTTCCTTAGAAATAGGATAGATAGTCTCCTCTCAAGAGATTTGCGGCCTCAGAAACCCATTGCAAGCCACCTATCAATCTGTTCATACCCGACAGCAAGAAGAGAATGAGATTATAGTGGCTGTGAGTAAGCTTTTGTTGTTGTTGTTGTTTAATTCCGTCGAGTCGTAGACGACTTGTAGCGACCCTATGAACGAACAGCCTGAGCACTGTTCGTACATCGAGTTTCCGGAGGCAAGCCATTTTGGAAGTGGATGACACTCCTGCTTCCAGGCTTGATTTAGTCGGGAAGCTCCAGCCAACACTGTCCACCATGGGTGCCCATTACCACGATTGGCACATCATTGTCACAGGCTTTAGCATCACAACAACCACGAGTTACCTCTGTACAGCAACACACAGACAAGTGCTATACCACCTAGAAGAATGTTTGACAGGAAGACAATTTGAACCTGGCCGAGGGCCACAGGTGACAACCACCCACCTTCCACTAGGCCAACGTAGCTCTCTCTTGGTCATCATCATTGTTATTGTAACAATAGCTTTAGCTATTGGTAATACAAATGACTTAAGATTAAGAAGTTCTAAGGAGCGGCATCCACTTCTGAAATGGCTTGCCTCCGGAAACTCTATGTATGAACAGTGCTCAGGCCATTCATTCATAGGGTCGCTATGAGTCGTCTACGACTCGACGGCACCAAACAACAATGACAACGACAAAGGGAGAGCTACATTGGCCTAGTGGAAAGGAAGTTATGCTACCAAGCTGAAGGTGGGTGATTTTCATCTGTGTCCCTCAGCCAGGTTCAAATTGTTTTTCTGTCAAACATTCTTCTAGGTGGTATAGCACTGGTCTGTTCATTGCTGTACAGAGGTAACTCGTGGTTGTTGTGATGCTGAAGCCTGTGACAGTGATGTGCTAGTCGTGGTAATGGGTACCCATGGTGGACAGTGTTGGCTGGAGCTTCCCGACTAAAACAAGCCTGGAAGCAGGAGCAGCATCCACTTCCAAAATGGCTTGCCTCCGGAAACTCTATGTACGAACAGTGCTCAGGCCGTTCATTCATAGGGTCACTATGAGTCGTCTACGACTCGATGGCATTAAACAACAGCAACAATGGCGTAAGACGCTTTAATGGCTCAGTGGGAAGAAATTGTGCCGTAAACGCAAAGCACATGGTTTGAATCCACCAGTTACTCCATGGGACAAAAGTGGGCAATCTCCCATGTGATTTGCTGGCTCTGAAAACCCACTGAAGGGTTAACTACAGGTTCGTTACAACTTCATGGTATATAGCAACAAAAATGGTATAGCCTGTACCCAGTTGTCCTGTTGTTACAAAGGTAATTCCAGTATACCATCTCAGGGAGAAAGATGGACAAGTCTCCTCCCATGTGATTTAGTTTCAGAAACCCAGTGGCTAGTCACTGTGAGTTCATTCAAACTCACTGGCAGTGGGTTTAATGACTGAGATTTGAATTGTTCATGTTCAGCATAGTGTATGTTTTACCTAAAGTTGCACTGTTCTCATATGCTAAAAAGTTGTCACTGGCTGGGTTATTTTAGTTATAGTGTCTGTGATTTTTAAAACTTTGTTTTTATTTTTGCTTGCTATCAAGTTGATTCTTGACTCTGAACCATTAGATTGATATGAGTCATTAAAGTTTTGATGGCTAGTTTTTAGGAGTAGTTTGTCAGATCTGTCGTCATCATCTTCCCCCCCCCCCTAAATCCCAGGAATCATTTTATTACAATGCGACCCCAGCTCTAGTTGCTGAGGTGTAGGTCAGAGGGTGCTGGCCATTCGTCACTGAGGAGTGCAGTGCACACAAGGGCGGGCTCAAGCAAGGCCAGGAGGGTCGTTGTGGGAACTGGGCTGGTCTAGGCCCGAAGGGAGACTCTTGAGCTTGAGTCTTGGGGCAGTGTCTAGGTCCAGCCTGGCTGCAGCTGCCAGCATCTGGGCTACAGCTCCAGTGGGGACATTGTGGAATAGGGGCAAGGCTTGGAATGCATCCTGTGTAATGAAAGCAGGCTGGGGTGCTCCTCAGGAGCAGCTGATTCTTTGAGCTATCTTTATTTCCTCAGAGAGGACCTCCTTCAGAGTTGAATGCCTTGTCCAGGTGTCGTCATGATGACAAGGTCAAACAGGCCTGGTTCATTGTTGTTCTCCATGTTGACCTTGGCATTGGCCAGCCACTTAACGAGTCTCTCCTCTGTCTCTGTGTTCCGGCCTCTCAAACGTTGCTCCAAGATCTCAAGGGAGGGTGCCAGCACACAGATTCAGAGGGGCCACAAGATCTTTCTTCTTAATAAACAACAGACAAATTTTCCCAGATGATAGAGTTTGAACAACAGTAGAATTCAACAGAATCTTTAGTTATGTTCTTACATATCTAATGCTGTTGTTGTTGTTAGGTGCCCATCAAGTCGTCGGTGATCACAGTGTTCAGCTTCACAGCAACCACAAGTTACCTCTGTACAGCAATTGGGTAGACCAGGGAGGGCTATACGACCTAGAAGAATGTTTGAACAAAAACAATGAAAAGCAGACCTGAGGGCTGTGGATTAAAGTCACCCACCTTTGGCTTGGTAGCATCACTTTCTGTCCACTAGGCCAGCTGATCCTGATATCTCTCTCTGCTGTTGCTGTTAAGTGCCGTCAAGTTGTAGACAACTCATAGCGACACTATGAATGAAAGACCTGGACACTTGTATAATTTTCATCTTTTCTCCAGGTTCATAGGGTTTCTGGAGGCAAGCTATTTTGGAAGTGGATATCTAATGCTACTATTAAAAAAATAGCAAAAGTAGATCGCTTTAACAACAAAGAACATTTTTCTCACTATTTTAGAGTCTAGAAGTCTGAATTCATAGTATTCTGGGCAAAGGCATTCATCAGAGAAACAGTTTCTTGTTTCTTTTACGTTTTTACTCCTGCATGATCTTTGTGTAGACTTTCATCTCTCTTTTCCTATCTCTGCCTCTTTTGCTTGCCTACCTTTTTAAAATCTCAGAAGATACTGTATCAAGATACTCTGTTCACTAATTCTGTATAGGATGGGATGTATTAATAGACATAGAGGTTAGGGTTGTTGTGTACCACAGAGTCGGAACCAACCCATAGCTGACCCTCTAGCAGGTTTTCAGAGGTAATCATGCAGGAGGAGATTGCCCATCCTTCTCCCATGGAATAGTTGGTGGACTTGAATCATGTGCCTTTTAGGATTGCAACACAGCTTCTTACTACTAGGGCACCCAAGATTAGAGTATATAAGAAATTTTTTTTTTTTTACATAATTAACTTCATAGCATTTTGCCATTTGGCCCCTATAATATATGTTGTAAATCTAGGCTCTGTCCTTATAGTTATAATCATTTTGGGAATGGACTATTTTGATATTAATAAACTTGATTGCTTTTGAAGTATAAAACACATTACATTCAGGATAGGAATGTGGGTAGATGCTACATGCCAGACCACATTACCAGGATTGCCAAAAAGATTTCTGTTTGTAGAACCTTACAGTCAGGAAAAAGATAGGCTGTCATAGGATCTGCTGTAAATTGGTTCCATTTTCATGGCAGTGAGGGAAAAGTTTATAAAACAGATAAAGCACTTTCTCCACACCTGATAAGAGAAATCCTTCCATTCTAGTTGGCACCTTGAATTGAGGAAATACAATTTATATTTATTAAAGCCATCCACTTGTGATGCTTTCCATACTTGACAGATTATCTGGGAGGCTGGGCTCCATGAGGAGAAGTGTGGAGGAAGACTAATCAGCAACTTGCGTTGTGCAGATGACACAACCCTGCTTGCTGAAACTGAGGAGGACATGAAATACTTGCTGCAGAAGGTCAAGGACTGCAGCCTTAAATATGGATTGAAGCTTAATAGCATGAAAACAAAGATTCTTACCACTGGGCCAATTGGAAGTATGAGGATGGATGGTGAAGAGATTGATATTGTAAACAGCTTTAGTTCACTTGGCTCCACAGTCAACACTCTTGGTACCAGCAACCAGAAAATTAGAAGACATACTACGTTGGCAAAGTCTGCTGTCAGAGACTTCTCCAAAGTACTGAAGAGCAGTGATGTCCATCTGGAGACTAAGGTGCGCCTGATACAGGCTATGGTCTTTACAATCACTTGCTATGCATCATAGAGCTGAACAGTGACTAGGGAGTATAGAAGGAAAATTGATGCTTTTGAGCTGTGGTGTTAGAGAAGACTATTGAATATACCATGGACTGGTAAGAGGACAAACAGGTTCGTCCTGTGAAAGGTGGAACCAGGGTGTTCTTTGGAGGCAAGGATTCTGAAGCTTCGTCTGAATACTTTGGACATGTTGCAAAGAGAGATCAGTCCTTGGAGAGGAACATCATGCTTGAGAGGGTGGAGGGACAGTGCAGGAGGGGAAGGCCTTCTATGAGATGGATTGATTCAGTGACTGGGGAAATGGGGGTGGCTGTCCGAGACAGTAAGATTGGCACAGGATGGAGCAGGGTATAGGGCTATTGGACATAGGGTTACTGTGAGTCAAAGGCAACTCGATGGCACATAACAACAACAACTTGTGATATTTTCTAATACCAGCACTAGCTCGCTAGCTAGCTAAGTAGATAGGTGGATAGAATTTGGTACTGAGAGGTAGAGAGCTGCTCTAATAGATATCAGAATGTGAGAACAGTTTTGGAATTGGATTATGGGAAGAGACTGAAAGTCTTTTAAGGTGTCTAATAGTAAAGTCCTAGTAGCATTGAAGAAATTGGTAGAATGATGGGCAACAGAGAACTGTTCTGGTGAAGGCTCAAAAGGAAGTGAAGAAAGCTGTAGAAAACATGTTTGCTATCTTAGAGAGTTTGTATGATGCCAATACAGAATGTTGATGGGTATGTGCTCATTAAATGTTGTTCTCTTTAGGCTTTAAAATAAAATAAAATACTGAGCTTGGGATTAGACAGTAGAAGATTAATGATCCTTTTCATGCAGTGACAATGAATTTGTTTGAAATAGTTGAGATATTTATTGGAAAGTATAACTTCGAATGGTTGAACTCAGATATTTGACTGATGATATTTATAAAATATCGAAAAGGACTTTGTGATTTTTCCTTACTGCTTTCCCTGTGAAAGAAAATAGATGAATTTTAAAATGAGCTGTTCACAGTGAAAGCAGAACTTAGATATTTGGAAATTTCTGTTGTTCAGATTAAGAGCGTATACACTATAATGTTTGTCCAAGAATGACTGATGTTGTTAGGGAAATGTGCGAATCTCAGATCAGGTTCAAGTTGCAGAGTGGTTTCTCCTGTGTCATGTTGTTAATCTGATTCAGGTCAGATAATAATCTGTTTGCTTGTTGTTCTGCAAGAGCAAGTGAATCCCAAAATTTGCAGATCAGAGGATTATGAATATCATGCTGGATCAAGAAAAGTCAAGCTTTGTCAGACGATCCACATATATTGAGTACAAGTCACCCACCTAAGGAAACTCCCCTTTCAAATGATTATTGCTCACATCTGATGAGAGACTAGAGGATGATTACACATTACATGGCAAACTACTGAGAACCATTAATTTAGCCAAGTTGACATCTAACTTACCCATCACAGCATGAGGACTTAACATGATTAGACACACCTTATCATTTTTCTATATATAAAAACTATCAAATAATATCATTAATATCACATGCAAGCAAAATATTACTGAAGATCATTCAAAAATGTATTCACTGTTGGTGGGGTTATAAAATGGTACAGCCACAGTGACTATGGCACTTTCTCAAAGAGTTTTTCACAAATAGAAGTATCAGTTGACCCAGCTATTACACTGCTGGGAAAAATACCCTAAAGAAACCATAACTGCCACCCTAACAAATAGATGCACACAATATAGTCACAGTAGCAAAGAGGTGGAAGCAATCCAATCGCCCATCATGGAACGAACAGATAGAGAAGCTGTGGTATATTTACATAATGGAATACTACACAGCACTGAAAAATAAGGAACTCACAAAATATACAAAATGAATGACCCTAGAAGACATTATGGTGAATGAAATATCTCTGTCACAAAAGGACAAATTCTGCATCATGCCATTGTCATAAAACAGGACTGATATGGAGTTGGGGTTAAATAAGAAAAGAGGGGATAAATAATGAATACTACATTGTAACAGATGAGGGAAAGAACTGTCTAAAGTCAAGGAAATATATGATTTGTTATTTGCAGGACAAAAGTCCAGAATAAGAGGTGCAAAGCAAAGTGGACTAGAGAGTGGGTAGGGAGAGGGAGGAAATTGTGCAACAATGAAAGATTATGTTTGTTTTTAAAGAATCTTTAAGAGAAGGAAACTGGGCGTGGGTAGGGAGGAAAATATAAAGCAATGGATGAATGGAAATCCAAGTTTTCTGTAAACTTTTATAAATATATGAATAAATAAACTAACAAGTAATGACTGGAACATAGATGGGGAACTTCTATTTAAGCATGATTTAGAAAGGCCGTGGCACCAGTCACATCACTGCTGATTTCAGATGATCTTGGCTGAAAGTAAAGAATACCAGAGGAATATCTCTTTGTGCTTTATTGACTATGTAGAGGCATTTGGCTATGTGGATCATAACAGGCTGTGGCTGACATTGAGAAAAATGGGAATCCCAGAGCACTTAATTATACTCATGAGAAACCTATTCCTGGATCAGGAGGCTGTTGTGCAAACAGAGCAGAGAACACAGCATGGTTTGAAATTAAAAACAAGTCTCTCGGGGTTGTAGTCTTTCTACATACCTATTCAATCTGTATACTGAGCAAATTATCTGAGAAGCTGGACTCTATGAAGAAGAATGTGGAATCAGGATTGGAGGGAGATTCATCAATTATCTGCATTATACAGAGGACACAACCTTGCTTGGTGGAAGTGAGTAGGACCTGAAGCACTTGTTGCAGAAGATCAAGGAATGCAGCCTTCGGTATGGATTGAGACTCAGTGTCAAGAAAACCAACATTCTTGCTACTGTCAGAAAAGTACATATTAGATAATTTTATATTTTTTGCACAGAGGTTTTCAGTGAAGATTGTATATACAGTTGCCTTCATCCTGCCACTCCTGTGTCATTTTCAATTAAATCTTGAGTTCCAAACTAGTATAGAATGAATCATCAGAAAGTATTTGAGAGCCTCATAAAGGCCAGTTTTTTCTTATTTCTATTTCTTCTCATTTGTTTATAGTTTAGAAAGTTGTTCTTATATTTTAAGATAAGTGGTCCACAGTGTTTTTTTAAGTGGATCATTTGGTTAATTTGCATGTTTTCATTATTGTGCTCTATGTCTTCTTCCTCTGTGTCTCTTACAGGAGCAAGGAGATTTGTGACTTTGGATTTTGGCAGACCAATACTGTTGACTGATGTATTGATTCCCACTTGTGGAGACTTGGCCTCTTTGTCAATTGACATTTGGACATTAGGAGAAGAGGTGGATGGAAGGAGATTAGTAGTAGCAACTGATATAAGTACCCATTCGCTGATTCTTCATGACTTAATTCCACCACCTGTGTGCAGATTCATGAAGGTAAAGAATTTGGGGGGCGGGGATGAAAAGGAATTCTGTATGCTTCTGACAAACTGTAAGGCAACTCATTCATAGTACTTAGAAAATATGGCCATATTTTGAAATATTTTATTCAGATTTTGGTGTGGCAGATGTGTATATATTAACATTTTATTATAGATCACCGTCATTGGACGTTATGGAAGTACAAATGCAAGAGCCAAGATCCCACTTGGTTTTTATTATGGTCATACCTATATCTTGCCATGGGAGAGTGAACTGAAATTAATGCATGATCCTTTGAGGGGAGAAGGAGAGTCCGCCAACCAACCGGAAATTGACCAGCATTTAGCAATGATGGTTGCTCTACAAGAGGATATACAGTGCAGGTTAGTGGAAAAGTAAAATATCATTGAAATCTTACATTCTGTTCAGTGTTTTAGTTTTATTTCTTTCAGTTATTTTTCATTGATGTATGGAAAAGAATCAAAGTTAGTAGGATCTAGGACATTAAAACATTTCAGTACTATATTATTGAATGAAATGTCATGATTTGCCTAATATATTGGTTGTTGTTTGTTGTGAAGTGCCATCGAATTGTAGGCAACTCATGTTAACAATTATTGGTACCAAATAATTTATTGATACTCCTAATTTATTGGTGCCCAATTGACAAGTAACTCCTTTGAGTTGAGGTATTAGAAACAGCACTGAACATCCAATGGACAGCCAAGAGAATGAACAGATAAGTCTTGGAGAGGGTGTAGCTAAAGTGCTCTTTGGAAACAAGAATGACAAGGCTTTACATACTTATATACTTGTACAAGCTGCTAGAAGGTGCTCCTCCTTGGAGAAGGACTTGATGCTGAGAAGGATGGAGGGATGGTGAAGAAGAGGAAGACCCTCAACCAGCCAGATTGACACGATGACTGCCGCAGTGGGCTCTTGTGTGTGTCAGGAAATGTGAGGTTGACTCAGGATAGAACGGGTTCAGATGTTTTTGTTCATAGGGTCACTGAGTTGTACTCAACGCAATAGCTTCTAATAACAACAATTGATAAGTTTGTTGTAATGATAATATATTAATATGCTGTAGGCTCTTCTTAAGTGTATGTTCTTAATGTGTTTGTTATCAAAGGAAGATTTCAGGAATTATTTTGTTCCTTTATTATTTTTACTCATAGATATAATTTAGCTTGTCATCGTCTGGAAAGTCTCCTGCAAAGTATTGATCTTCCTCCACTCAATAGTGCTAACAATGCACAGTACTTTTTGCGGAAGCCAGATAAGGCAGTTGAAGAAGACAGTAGAGTGTTTTCTGCCTATCAGGATTGCATTCAGCTTCAGCTTCAATTAAATTTGGCTCATAATGCTGTACAGAGGCTCAGAGTAGCTCTAGGTGCAAGCCGGAAGATGTTGAATGAAACATCAGATTCTAAAGACCTAATTCAGACATCTTCTACAGAGCAGTTACGTACTATCATCAGATATTTATTGGACACTTTGCTCAGCCTTCTTCACTCTTCCAATGGTTTGTATTTAGGTTAAGCATTTGATAAGGTTGGGGTTAGATTTTCTTGTATGTTTTAGGGTCTATGTTAATATTATTTGGGCATTGTTGATTTGGACTTCCTTTATAATGTGAATAAATCTAGAATAAGTAGTTAATTCATTTTCCCCCTAATTTTTATTTTCCTTTAATCTTATATCACTATTATAAGAAAAGAATAAATATTAAACAGTGAAAACATCTCAAAAATTGTTGATCTCTAAGAAATCTATAATTTTTTAAAGCCACAGTTGATTTCTCTTCATTAGAAACATGCATACATATACTGGGAGGGGACTGGTATGAATCTAGGTTATCCTCCTACCATTAGAAACAGTCTTTGCTTGAGAAAATGAGAGTTGGCAATTTGTGAGACCATTTTGACTGCTGGAGTGTTAAACTGTATTTATTGCTTTCAAGTAACATAATAATGTAGTACATTAGTGATAGGAAAGAAATCATAGCAAATCCAATTGAAGAATTAAAATTGACCTAAGGGCTGGTAGTTTTCTTCCCAAACTAATTACTTCTTGAATTTCCGTACGAAAGGATTAAAAAACTGTGGAGCAAGATAACTAGAGTATAATTGTTTACTAATTGATGATAAAGAAGAAAGCATATCTTGGTATGCTTTTTTTATATAATACCATATATTTAAATGGGAAATTTGCTATTTTCTTTCTCTAATAGGACACTCTGTTCCTGCAGTTTTGCAGAGCACATTTCATGCCCAGGCCTGCGAAGAACTCTTTAAACACTTGTGCATCAGTGGAACCCCAAAGATAAGATTGCATACTGGTCTTCTGCTGGTTCAACTCTGTGGTGGTGAAAGATGGTGGGGTCAGTTTCTTTCCAATGTTCTTCAGGAATTGTACAATTCAGAACAGCTTCTCATCTTTCCACAGGATAGGTAGGTTTTAAAATATTATTATTTGTTAGTGATTTTTCAGTTCTGATTTACATGAAAAATCATATTAGTGATTTTTCAATCTGTGTTACAAAGAATGCCTCATAAAAGACATAAAAATTATATGAAGAAGATATGATATTACTAGACTTTCTTTAGTTTCCTGATTGATCCTATGTATTTTATAAACTAGTAGTTAACAATAATTTCTTTTCAGGTGATTCTATTTATATATATTAAATAATAGTATTTGGATCTAAGACAAAGCTCACTGTCTCTATTCCTTTCTACATTTCTGAATTTTTATTAATAAAGTAATTAGTGGCTATAAATGTGGCTAGTTTAAAAACTATACCTACAGATGTTAATCTTGTCTACAAACCATGAGAAAACATTCAGTCTTTACCCTTTTACATTTAAATAATAAGGAATTTTTAAATAATTTAAATCCATGGTTATCAGATGGGTTTTTTAATATTTGTGTTGTTTTGTTTTCTTTTAATAGAGTCTTCATGTTACTTTCCTGCATTGGTCAGAGATCACTTAGTAATAGTGGAGTCTTAGAAAGTCTGCTTAATCTCTTGGATAATTTACTGTCACCTCTTCAACCACAGTTGCTTATGCATAGGAGGACAGAAGGTAGTGTTCTTTGGTAAAAATATAAGACATCTATAGTGATTTGATGAAGTATCAATTCATTTTATGAATTATGAATTCTAATGTCCATTACTACTCATTCTGTTGATACTTTTAGAATGTATACATGTTATTTTAGAATGATTAGCCTTCATGGTACTGACTTAAAATTGTTTTTCTAATCTCTCTTAATTGAAATTATTAGTTCTTATTTTTAAAATATAGTTGCTGTCTTTTAAATATTAAATATTCTTAAAATATTGAATATTAGAAATAATAATGAATTTCATTCGAACCAAAAAATTTAGGCTAGAAACATTGAAACATATATTAGTATCATGTAAATTCTAATTTGTGATTTAGATATTTCATTTCATATGCACATAGTTCTTAAAATTTGGCATATTTTACCATGTTTTCTAGTTTATAAATTATTGTCTCTTGCCTTTAACCTATGCTTAAGAATCCTTTTTTTTATTGACAAAATTTCTTTTCTGTTAGATTAACTGTGCTAATAGCCTTCTTCTTTTGAAACTTATTTTTAACAGATATTTTTGTTGTTGTTGTTGAGTTCCTTCAGGTTGAGCATGACTTACAGTGACCTTATGAACAAAATGCTTGAAGCCCCTCAGCATTTATCAAAGTTTTTAGGGTTCCTGGAGGCACGTTGTTTAGGAAGTAGATGCCACTCCCAAAAATGTTAGTGCTAATAATAATAGAATATATTTTAGATTTATGATGAAATGTTTTAGCTCAGACTGTTTTGCCAAACTTAATACTCTTACTGTCACCTGGATATTTTGTTTTCTTCTCTGTCTGTGCAGGAGTACTAGATATTCCCATGATCAGTTGGGTTGTGATGCTGGTCTCAAGGTTGTTGGATTATGTGGCAACAGTTGAAGATGAAGCATCAGCAGCAAAGAAGCCTTTGAATGGTAAAGACAGGGAGAGGTTTCTGACAGGTATCTGAAGTTTATAATAATATGTTGGTGGGGATATTAAGAATGACCCAGCAGTTGTTCCAGAACTATTGACCCGGAAGAAAATCTGTATGTAATTTATGTAAAATATGAATTAACTCCCAGGAACCTTTTTAATGACAATGTTTTAAGAGAAACATAATCTGGGCATGATTTTATTTTCTAAATACTGTCATACTGTTCTTAAGGTTTTTTTCATCATGCTCATTTAGATACTTGAAAGCAATAGATATAATTTTAAAGGTAATTTTTGAACAGTACGTCTTAATGAGGGTTCCCCCCCACCTTGTTTTCTGTATCATTCCATTTACTATCAAAGCACCGTATTATTACACATTACCTACAGATGGCATTTAGATAAAGAAGGGTTTCAGGTTTATTAGTTTAAATTATTTTTTAGCATTTTAATGTACATGAACTTGAAACACTAAATATATCTTTAAAATTAAAACATATTCAGTTAGAGGAACAATTTCTTTTCATCACTCCAGTCAGCAAAGCTTTTCGTAAAGGATTTGTTGTGATTATGTACCATGGAGTCAGAACTGACTCATGGCTGATCCTCCGGTGGGTATAGACTGTACGACACAGGAGGAGAGTACCCGTCTTTCTCCCAAGGAGCAGCTGGTGGATTTGTACTACCTATTTTATAAAGAATTTAGGGTAACTAAATTCAATACATAGATAAAACCTTTTTTTTTTTAAAAAAAAAATTGAATTCTATACATTTTTTTTAGCATTCACATATAGCTAAATACCCCCCCCCCCAATGTTTGTATCATGATTTAGAACAGATTGGGAAAGTTTTTTACAAGGCATTTGCCTCATACTGAATTACTTTTACAAATAGTTTGTATCTCTAGGTCAGTGTACTGAATAGTTTGTTTTTTAGATGTTTGATACACAATTAAATGTAATTTTAGTATAAAGCTGTAATATGTAACATCCAGATTAGTGATTATGGTTTTAATTTATGTCTTCTACATAGGGTTATTGTTTTTAGGTGCCATTGAGTCACCTTCAACTCATAACCCTGTGTGCAATAGCCCTAAAACCTGCTCTATCCTGTGCCAAACGTATTGTCTCCAACACACCTACTGACATTACCCAAGTCACTGAACCAATCTATCTAATTGAGAGTCTTCCTTTCTTGCGCTTTCCCTCCATTACAAGCATGATGTCCCGTTCCAAGGACTGGTTCGGCCTTGCAACATGTCCAAAGTATGTCAGATGAAGCTTCAAAATCCTTGCCTCCAAGAAGTAGCCTGGTCTCACCCTCTCTAGGAAGAACTTGTTTGTTCTCTTAGCAGTCCATGGTATATTCAGTACTCTTCTCCAGCACCACAGCTCAAAGGCATCAATTCCCTTTCTGTTATCCCTAGTCATTTTCCAGCTTTACAGTGCATAGCAAGTAATTGCAAAGATCATGGCCTGGATCAGGTGTACCTTAGTCTCCAGACTGACATCATTGCTCTTCAGTACTTTGGACAGGTTCTTTATCGTTTGAGAAAGCAGACTTTCCCATTGTAATTCTTCTTTTAATTTCCTGGCTGCTGAGACCAAGAGTGTTGATTGTGGAACCAAGCAAACTAAACATAGTATGCCAACAGAAAAAATGGTGTAATTATATTTTTGGAGTTTAACAGTTGTTAATATAATAAATGGATAGTCTAGAAAAATAGGTGTATTTAGGTTAAATAAATGTAAACAATTAGTGATAGAAGTAGCATTTAGCTGATAGATATTGGATCCACTTTGAGTAAAGTTAGAAATAGTCTCAATATAGTCCATAAAATGAGAGTATTGCTAGCTGAAAAGATGATTGAGTTTTTAAATTATTCAGCTTTATTTTAGTAGTCATTAATTAAAATAATTAAGTATTCTTTTTTTAACCATACCCCCAAAATAGATCAATTTAAAATTCTAAGTAGTGGTGGTGGTGGTGGTGGTGGTGGTGGTGGTGGTGGTGTTAGACTCAAGTAACATGAAAGTGTTTTTGTAAGAGACTTATCTGCAGCAGTTGTGAAGAATAGTTGCCATTAAACTAAATGAAAAATTGAAAGCAGTGTGAACTCTGGTCTCAATTGTCAGTTAGAACAATGAGTTACTCAAACTTTCTGTGATTTATAACTTTCATTTTCATTGTTTTGTAAAGTTGTCATGACTGCATTTATACTTTTGCATTTTCTGTATTTAAGAGGTATTTTAAAGTGACATTTAATACTCCTATTAATAAAACATTTCCTCACTCCCTAGGTAATCAGTGGAGTTTTATTAACAATAGTCTGCATACTCAGAGTTTAAATCGGTCTTCCAAAGGCAGTAGTAGCCTTGATAGATTATATTCCAGAAAAATCAGGAAACAGCTTGTTCATCATAAACAGGTAAGTGTACAAAACGTATTTTAATGTTTGAGAATATTATATTGGAGACTACTGAGATAGATTTGCCATAATATTTTATGACCTGCTTACCTTAACATCTGTGAAATTCAGTTTCCTTATTCAAAATGGTTTAGTAAGTACCTTGTACATTTATGGTGGTGGTCTTGACACTGTTTTCCCTCTTGATTGCATTTCTCAGTGAGTCTACTCAGTCCATCTTTTTTTCTAGTTAGTTTGACCCCCACTTTATGCACTAGGCCACCAGAGCTCCCTTGAGACTTATATCAAAAGGCATGTTTCTGTTTTCTGTTCAAATCTAGACAATTCTTTAATAATGGAAACTTGGTCACATCACAGTCTTTCTTCAAAATATTTAGTAGCTTCTATTTGTCTTTGCATGAAAGTTAAACTCCTTTATATGACGGTAAAGTACTCACATATTTGTCTCTCTCTGTCACTATCAACTAGAGTGATGGTTTTTAAAGCATGAGCCTTAGAGAATTTGAATTCTTTACACATTCTTTAAACAATCTATTTTCTTGTTCAGTACTTTCTGCATTTGCCTTATTTATTTTGTTAATCATATTAACTTACTTAGAGAAAATGGGCCTGATTTCTGAATGAGATAATAGCCTTTGTGTAAATGATAGTCATGATTTTTTCTTGCAGAGACTTTTGATTTTATTATGTGAATATTTGCACACTTACTGTGTGTAATAATTTCTTAAAATATATTACTCACTCTTTTGTACCTGCTTTTGCGCAAAATGATATTTTTGAAATTTATGCATGTATTGAGTGTACCACTAAATAGGCTTTTTTCCCGTTTCCTGACTACTGTTCCAGTATTTGACTTTACTAAATATAATTATCTAACAATATTTTTCAGCTAGTTGACTTCATGGATAGCAACTGAAATGGCAAGAACCTGACATCTTATTTGGGAAATGATTTTTTTTTTTAATCACCAACACAGAGAAATTATATTATTAAATCATTTAGAAAATTTCTTAGTCCCTAAATTTCTCTGAGGAGTATTAATTACTTTTTTTTAACATAGTTTGTTATAAAATTTTTATTCATTTTTCTCCTCTTGTTATGGCATCAGAGTTACCCAGTAATATGTAATACTTAAATTCTTGGGTGTTTTTTTTCTAAAAATACTCAGTTGTATATAAATATTAAATATTGTCTTCTACTTACTTTCTCTACTATTAAGCAACTAAACTTACTAAAAGCAAAACAGAAGGCATTGGTGGAACAGATGGAAAAAGAAAAAATACAGAGTAACAAAGGATCATCATATAAACTTCTTGTGGAGCAAGCAAAGCTAAAGCAGGCAACATCCAAGGTATGATTAAATATTTTACTGTAATGATCACTGGAAAGTCAGTTTCTTTAGGTATTTTAAATTATTTGAGTCTTTTGTGTGTTTAATTTTGAATAAGACAGTTAAATTTGTTAGTTTGCTTATAAACAAAATATCAGTTTACTGAAGATGACGTTCTTGTTAGGGAGGTAAGAGATAAGGAAACTTCTCAAAGTTATATGGTGACAGATGTCAGCCCTGAATGTTTTGGTAGTATTTAATCTAGAAATTACAATGAACATTAAAAAATTCAGTAAGGTATATTGTTTTGCTCATGTTTTTGCCTTAATTTTGCTGTATATGTGTTTTGTACTGCAATATAAATATATATACATTAACTGTAAACATCATTATATTAGTGTATTAGTGTTAAAAAGAATTTATATGTAGATGAATATTTTAGCTACTAAAGCTCTTTGAAAATTTTTGAAACTTAAGTTTAATAGTCAAAGTGGATTTGCATCTGATGGAACATGAGACTCAGTATGTCCTCTCTAAGTAAATATTAAGTTAATGAAATTTCTAAAAAGCACATATAACTTAATAGTCATTTAAAAAATTTATGGTGAACATTTGGTTATAAAAGGAATCTAATTTTTATAATAAGTAATATAAACTTACTTCATCAGACCTTTTTTCTAAACTTTCATTTTCTCTTAGAGTATTTACAAAAAAAACATGAAAATGTTTTCAGAGGCTAAAAATTGCATTGGAGGAGATTCTCCATCGTTCTCCCATGAAATGTCTGGTGGATTCAAACTGTTCTCTATTTCATATGTTGTTTTGTACTATTGAGGCACATCTCACTTATAGTTGATCCTCTAGTAGCTTTTCAGAGAAGTGAATTAATTGCAAGGGGAAGAGATAGCTCATCTTTGTCCCACTGAGGTGGACTCTAACTTTGTCCATTTGGGTTGTTGTTGTTATGTGCCATTGAGTCGCTTGCGACTCATAGCGACCCTATGTACACTAAACTCTGCTCTGTCCTGTGCTGATCGCACTGTTTCTGACACACCCATGCTCAATACCCCAGTCACTGAATCAAACCACCTCATAGAGGGCCTTCCCCTCCTGCACCTGCCTTCCACCCTCCCAAGCATGATGTCCCTCTCCAAGGACCGGTCTCTCCTCACAACATGTCTAAAGTATGTTAGATGGAGCCTCAGAATCCTTGCCTCCAAGGAGCCACCTGGTTTAACCCTTTCCAGGACAAATCTGTTTGTTTTCCTAGCAGTCCATGGTATTCTCAATACTCTTCTCCAGCACCACAGCTCAAACTAAGCCACCAGAACTCCCTTATTCTATATGTTGATGTTTTTGTGTGCCTCTGAATTGCAACTGCCTATAGGTGATCTTCCCGCAGGTTTTAAGAGGCAATAAACCACACAGAGATTGTCCATCCTCCTGTGGAGCAGCTGTGTGTTCACTTTGAGATTTTCAGCACAGCTCCTTACCTCTAGGCCACCAGAGCGATTTAGATAGTTCTAACTAGTGCAGAATTTTTTTTACCATTAAACTAAGTTGTTATTTGGTTGGTAGACAATTTCAGGGTTTGTTTTTGGTTTAAAGATTATTGTAGAATGAGTACAAGGATCCAAGGGGGCCAGTGCTTAATCATAGGATCACACAATTTGTTGGGTGGAGAGCAGGGTGGGTAAAGAAAAGGTGAGAGATCCAGTGTGAAAAACAATGTATAAAAACTTTTGTGAGGACAGAAACTCTCATGGACCTCTGACAAGAAGCTGCACTGCAATAACAAAGGTGTGTGGTTTGAATCCACCAGATGCTCTGCTGGAGAAGGAGGGGCAGTCTCCTCCTGCCCGTTGGATCCAATTTGATGGTACACAGTAAGGGCGGTGGGGGGAACTTTGTGTGGAAACCTGTATAAAAGAAAAAAAAAAAAAAGAAAAAAAAATAATTTTTTAATGGTATTTTCAATGAATTAAAGAAAAAAAATCTGAGCATTAATTGCTTCTGTTGTTCATACACCATTCCTGCCTCCAGAAAGTCTAGCAATTCACCCACAAGAAGTACATGATTATCCAGGAGGTAGACTGAACACATTAGTCCATTAACTAGATGGTTCCATGAAACCATAACTCTGAATTTCCAAAACCTTGAGATACTTGGTTGTACATAAGGAGCCTCAGCAGCTATTTTGTTTCTGATCATTGCTGTGAATGTCTCTGTCACACCATTCTTTGCCAATCCATCTTTATAAAGGTGTACAACTAATTGACACTAATTATGACAGTAGTTATGTGTTCAGCCCTACCTTTAATCAAGGCGATTTTCCCCATCACCCTTTATCCCTCCCTCTCGTCCATAATAATTGTTGCTTAACTTTGATCCTTACTCATTTACCTTGTCTTTTTATATAAAGGAGGTCATACCATATTTGTCCTTTTATTTAAGTCAGCAGTATGTCTTCAAGCTCCATTCCTGCAGCAGCAGGTATCAATCAAGACTTCATTTCTTCTACTGGCTGAATAATAGTCCATTTTATTTCTATATTATTTGCACCTTTGGTTAATGTGAAAGGGCTCTTGTGAACATTGATCTTTGTTTTTAAGTCTCAGCTTGCAAGTCTTAGCAATGGAATTACTAGGTTGTTAGTTCGATTTTTAGTTATTGAGTAAAAATGGATGTGTTGTTCTTGTGGCTCCACATCTGCCTCAGTGGCTGTTATTTTCTGTTTTCTTCCGTTTTCTCTTTTTATTAAATTTCCTTCCCATCCTATTAGAAGTAAAATGGTTTTGTGGATTTTATTTTTGTTTCTCTGTTCACTATGATCTAGAGCAGCTTTTCCAGTGCTTAGTAGCCCTTTAAACATCCTCTTGGTAAATTTACCTTTGCCTATTGTAGAATAAGGTTGGCATTTTCTTTGTAAAATTTCTATATATATTTTGGTTATTAGATTCTTGTTGCATATATGATTTCCAAAGTTTTTTTCCCCCTATGTGGTAAGTAGCCTTTTCATTTCTTTTGGTGTAAGATCTTTTGATGGATAGATTTCTTTTTATTTTTCCAAATTTTCATTTTTTTGTTTTGTCTTTCACTTTGTATACTTTGTTATTAGAAAATGGTACATACACAGCGATCTAATCCATTGCTGAAAGCTAGACATTAAAGTGTCAACCCTACTTGTTCTTAAGAGTTTTATGGGTTTATTTTTCACAGTTAGGCCCTTTAATCCAGTTGGAATTTGGCTTTGTATATAATGTAGGGTGTAATTCGTGTTTCTTTTTCTGAATGTCTAAGTTCATTTTCCCATTATTACTTATTGAAGGGATTCTTCTTTTCCTATTGGATGGGTTTAGTGCCCTTGACCACAAATATGTGGATTTATTTTTGAACTATGATTCAAGTGGTCTGTGTGTCTACTGTTAAACCAGCAAAAATCTACTTTGGTTAATGTGTCTATACAGTTGTTGTTGTTGTTGTTGTTATGTGCTGTCGAGTCGCTTGTGACTCATAGCGACCCTGTGTACAACAAGCCCTAAACCGTGCTCTATCCTGTGCCAATCTCATTGCCTCTGACACAACCATCCCGATTACCCCAGTCACTGAATCAGTCCACCTCATAGAGGGTCTTCCCCTCCTGTGCTGTCCCTCCACTCTGCCCAGCATGATGTCCCTCTCCAAAGACCTGTCTCTCCTTACAGCATGTCCAAAGTATGTCAGGCGAAGCCCCAGAATCCTTGCCTCCAAGGAGCAGCCTGGTTTAACCCTCTCTAGCATGAATCTATTTGTTTTCTTGGCAGTCCATGAACAATCTCAAGTTAATCAGAAGTTAGATCCTTTTTATCATTTGTAATCTACTTCATGGCAACTGGTTTATTGAGTTGTATTATTTTTTTAAGATGTTTTCATAATAATTGACTCAGATTCAATTTAATATCCTTCTTATATAGAAATACATTTACTGATAATATAATTTTGTAGGGAGCTCTAGTGACTTGGTCCATAGGACCTTACTGCTGACTCACATGTGTCACTTTTGCCCATTTGAATTCACCAGTGTCTGCGAGCTTGGAAAAAATGGACAGTCTCTTCCCATGTGATTTAAAGCCTCCAGAATACTCACTAGATGATTAGCTGATTTGAGTTCAATGAGATTGATAGATATTTTATTTTGCTTTTAAATAGCATGTAATGTATATTGTTTGAGATAACTTTTAGTAAATTTTACCTTTTTTAATTTTCTGGATTTTTAAAATATTTTTTGCTGCAGAAATTATTAAATTTTTGCTAGGTGATTGTTTTAGTTCAATAATCATTTTATACTGAAATAATTTTTTTAAGTAAATATACTAATTTAAATATTGTGACATTTTACATGCAGCACTTTAAGGATTTAATTAGACTGCGTCGGACAGCAGAGTGGTCCCGTTCTAATTTAGATACAGAAGTTACAACAACAAAAGAAAGTCCAGAGATAGAACCACTTCCATTTACTCTGGCTCATGAACGTTGCATCTCAGTAGTTCAGAAGCTTGTTTTGTTTCTCCTTTCCATGGACTTCACGTGTCATGCTGATCTCTTATTATTTGTTTGCAAGGTAAGTAATTAATTAATATTATTACATGCTTTCAAGTTGTTTGTCTCATAATGACTATAACAGGAATAGTTCTACTCAATAGGGCTGTATAATCTTTTTGCTGCTAGATTGAAACAAGACATTTCAGTTAAGAGCAGAACACTAAGCCATTGTTCTTTTAAGGAGTCTGAAGTAAATCAGTAAGCATTTAGTGATTTTAAAGTAAATCAGTAAGCAGTTATGATTTTGGGATGGATATGTTTTGACTGATTATTATTTTAGTTTTGTATTGAGGTAGTTTTTATAAAGGATACCTTAATATACTTTTAAAATAAGTTTTTTATTAGCTGTATAGATCTAAAAACTAGATTTGGTTTTTAATCTCTCTAAACTAGATTAATAAAGATTTTCAATGTACCTAATGTGGTTATTGTATCGTTACCTTTATGTATTATTTACTGCTTTGTTACTTAAAATAGAAGAGAGAGAGAAGTTATAGCACAGAAGGAGTTTTAATATGCTGAAGGCATTAAGCTCATTATTAATCATAGAAATGAATCTCAGATATTTTCATTAGATTTAAATATATGACATAATAACATCATAATTCTTTTGCTTTCTGTTTCAAGTAATTGTTTTGCTTAAAGGCCATTATTTAAAATTATTAACATTGGTAGATACATATATAAGCAAATATTTTTTAAATATAAGTAATTGATATGGTTTTGTCAAATCTATTAGGTTCTTGCACGAATTGCAAATGCCACGAGGCCAACTATTCATCTATGTGAAATTGTGAATGAACCTCAGCTGGAAAGACTCTTACTGCTTTTGGTCGGAACAGACTTCAATAGAGGAGATATATCTTGGGGTGGTGCTTGGGCTCAGTATTCCTTAACATGTATGCTGCAGGATATTTTAGCAGGTTTGTCAGGGTTTTTTTTTAATAGAGTTTGTGAAAATTAGCATGATTAGAGCCCAATTGCTCCTTTATTAGTAACATTGATGTGTTGTTCAGTAGTTGTATGTGATCTTGAGAAAGTCAGTCTTTCTATACTTCAGTTTCTTCATTTGTGCAGTGAGGTTATGTTTTATATTGATAAAATAATGTACCTTCATTATAAAGTAATTGAGACAAATTAATGCTTTAGCATGTATAAAATGAGTATAATAATGGCTTTTTTGTACATACTTGTATTTCCTTCAACTATTTATTCTTTGGCGTTTGAAGTGAGTTTTACCAGTTGGTGGGTGGGTGGAATGCTCTACCCTACTCTCTTGGTAGAGTATTTATATAGTTGTTCTCTAAACTAGAGGAAGAAATAGGACTTACTTTGTTTTAAAAGTCTTTGTATTATTTGAGCAGTTAGGACTGTTTCTGTACATGTAGGAGAATTGCTGGCTCCAGTGGCTGCAGAAGCCATGGAGGAAGGAGCAGTCAGTGATGATGTAGGTGCAACAGCTGGTGACTCTGATGATTCCCTTCAGCAGTCTTCAGTTCAGTTACTGGAAACTATAGATGAACCTTTGACACATGATATGACAGGTAAACGTTTTCATTTATATTTTATTTAAATATTCTTTAAATTTCTACTGTATTTTACTCGTCTGTCAGTATGATCTTTTGTGGTTCCTTGCCTAATGTGATTCTTGAAGGTACGCCACCAGTAGCTCAAAAACCAGGTCTGGTGACCTAATGGGCCTAACTCCTTACAGTTTCACTGCCAACCCAAAGGCTAGTCGTTTGAGTCCATCAGCTGCTCATGGGAGAGAAATGAGCTGTGTCTTCCTATGCTTTTTCAGCTTCTGAAAACCCACTGGAGGGTCAGCTTTTAGTAATTTTTAAAAGGATTGCCTGATGAAACCTTTTGAATAGCAATAGAAAAATTGTCTGATACAGTGTCAGAAGATAAGGCCCTCAGGTTGGAGTGACTTTCAGGTTGGAAGTCACTCAAAGTTCCCACTGGGGTTGGGTTATCGTCTCATAGGAAAATTGTCCCTAAAGACATGCATGGAGTAAAGCTTCCATTTGCTGATTTAGCACAGTTCAAAATGAGAAGAACGAGCTGTAAACATCCATTAATTATGGAATGTGGAATGTATGACGCATGTTTTGTAGGCAAATTCAAAGTCTTTGAAAGTGAAATTGAATACATAAAAAGATTATATCGTGGATATTAATGAGCTACAACATTCATATTGGCCATTCTGAGTCAGACTAATAATGAAATAAACTAGGAAAATATGATGAAATAACATCACATTCGTCATCAGAAGATTTTCAAGATCTGCCATGAAGACTGGGGGAAAAGCCCAATATGACTATCATAAGAGCCTCTGAAACTTGCTCTTGAATAACATGAAAGAAGAAATCATATGTAAGAGCTGAAGAGATTTCAAAAGGCTTCTCAAAAAATAAAGTATGTATAAAGACCTGTAGTTGAAAAATGTAAAGCAAGAGATTATGCATATATTGCCTTTAGCAGCAATAGTTGAAGAATCTGTTCGCAAGTATGATTGAATAATGCAGGAAATGTTGAAGGAAGGATGTGAAAGTACTCTTAGGGACTACAAAACTAGTTCAAAATTTGAAGACTTCTAAGCAGAATAACTTTTTTAAGTTGTGTTTTTGTTTTGTTTTTTTAAAAAAAATTCATTGTTGGACATTCTCTTCCCCCTATCCAGCCCCACTGCTCAGTGCACCCCCTGATCCAGATTATTGTCTTACATATAGTGCCTAATCATGTTTTTCTTTTGGACAATTCTTCCCCTCATCTGTTGTATTGCAGTATTTTTAACCTAGCCACTCTTTCCCTATTCATTCCTCAACCCCACCCATCCCTCACTCCTCCGATGGCCGTCCTATTTTATAACAGAAGTGTTACATAGAATTTGTCCTCTTGTAACTTATTTCACTTATCATAAAAGTCCCCAAGGCTCCCCCATGTTGAGCAGTGTTTTACAAGTTCATTGTTTTTCAGTGCTGTATACTACTCCACTGTGTGAATATACCATAGTGTTTCTATCCATCCATTTATTGATGGGCACTTGGGTTGGTTCCATCTCTTTGCTATTGTGAGTAACACAGCATTAAGCATGGGTGTGCATACATTTATTTCAATCATAGCTCTGGTTTCTTTGTGACATATTCTCAGTAATGGAATTACTGGGTCAAATGCTTTTTCTATTTCTTTTTGAGAGAGCACCAGACTGTCTTCCAGAGTGGCTATACATTCACCAGTAGCGAATAAAAGTTACAGTCTTTCCAGAAGTTCTCCAGGCTTTGTTTGCTACCCTATTGAACTTTGCTGTTATTGCTAGAATGAGGTGGTATATCATAGTTGTTTTGAAGTTGTGTTTTTTTTAATGGTTATTATCTCATAACAGGAATAAGATAAATGACCATTTTATACCTTGAATCTTTGGGTATCAGTTCTTATAATATTGGATATAGTCCAGTAAACTTTTTTTTGTTAATCTGAAGTATTAATTTATTATTCTCTTCAAAAGCAGAATTTAGTAAGTTTAATTAATAAAGGTCTAATATAGTGGTTTATTAGCAATAAAAATAAAATGGGAATTTTGTTTATCTTCATGTTTTGTAGTGATAGAGTTATAGACTTATTATTGCTTAATTGTTGAATGTGAAAATTGATAGAAATTTTAATATCACTAGTATTTATTTGCATACTGGTGGCCTAGTGGCAAGGAGCTGCACTGGAACCTCTGACTCACACCATTCCAATTCACCAGCTGCTCTACTGGAGAAAGATGGACAATCTATTCTCAAGCAGTTAACTGGGTGATCAGCTGTGGGTTGGTTCCAGCTCAACAGTACACAACAATATCTGTTTTATTTGAAAATAAAAAAACTTGTGTGATACACTGTACCAGTAATAAAATTTTCATTTGAAGGTGCTCCTCCTCTTTCTTCTTTGGAAAAAGATAAAGAGATTGATCTTGAGTTACTTCAAGATCTAATGGAAGTTGACATTGATCCTTTAGATATTGATTTGGAAAAGGACCCACTTGCTGCCAAAGTTTTTAAGGTATGATGCATTAATTAAAGTTTTTCCTATTATACTTTTGTACTTATTAAATAGGAAAATATATGTATATTTATCACTAATTAGTACATTGAAAATAGCTCAGATTAATATAGCTAGTATAATGTTTTTAAATATCTGGCAAATATTTAAAAAGAAAATACCATTTTTAATAACTTGGCCACTAAATTGTTTTTTCTTTCATATTTATAAAAATACTAGTAGGTTGTTGGGTTATATAGTTAAAGATTACCTGTATCTAATTCTATTTAAATTTAATCCATGGGTCATATATTTGCAGGACAGCATTTCTTTTCTCTGAAGCCTGGACTGTCTTGCAGGATATATAATGTATAGCCAAAGGGTCTTTGTAATTATAGAAAAAGAAATGGAAGAGATGATAGGAAAACTTCAGATACTGAATTACCTAAATCTTTTCAGTGAAAATCAGACATGATTGAGGGAGTGCAAAGAAAAACTAAACTCTTCATAAGGCAGTATGTCTCTAATGCTTCATATTGATACTGGTCTTTTTGTATGCATACAAAATTCATTAAGTGAAGTCTTTTTGATATTTTGTCAGAAGATGAAGAGACTTTATTAAATCATTTCTAGTAAATTTTAGGAATTTAAACTCTGGAGTAGAACTTTATTTGTAGAACCTTTTGAGTGTAGAGAGTGCATCATTGTTCATGAAGAATAAAAAATAAACTACAGTTTTTGTTTTTATTCTTTTAAGCCAATAAGCAGTACATGGTATGATTATTGGGGTGCTGATTATGGGACCTACAACTACAACCCTTATATTGGAGGTCTTGGAATACCTGTTGCAAAGCCACCAGCAAACACGGAGAAGAATGCATCTCAGACAGTTAGTGTTTCAGTGTCTCAGGGTAAGTGTCTTTATGTTCTAAGACATATTATCTGTAAACTAATTCTAAATATATACATTGGCCTTTGAGAATGTGAACCTGTGTTTATATCAGGAGACTTTAGTATTGCATCTGTGCTATGAGTGACATTCAGAGTTGTCTGGAATTCTGTTAGTCATTTGGAGGAGCTTTTCTTTATGGAACATCTTTCTGTTTCTCTTTTAGAATAGAACCAAGTAAAAAATATCCATGACTGAGTAAAGTTTCATTGATTTTAATGACTTACATTTTCATTTATTTTCTTATCCTTGAAAGGAAACTTGTGCTAAATAAAAATTTATTAACTTAAAAGTTATTTTTTAACCTTTCTAGCCATGTAAACTCTCAGATTTATTAAGTTTTAAAATAATTTTCTTATTTTTATGAAATAATCACATATTTATGGAAATTGCAAGTACATTCCCCAAAACACAAGGTGATGAGTATTTTGAAGTTCTAAGCCCTTCCCCAGAGTTTCTGAGGCTGTAAACCTAACAGTCAGGAAATTAAAATATTAACTACTCTATTAACACTCAGACCTTTTTAAGGTTTCAACAGTTGTCAGTGATTTATTGTATTCAAATAGATCCAGTGCAAAGTCCTGCATTGTAGTTACAGCTATTTAATGTCTTTTGTCTGTAGTAATTTCTCAGGCACAACTACAGGACCTTCATACTTTTGAAGATAAAGGACCGTTTCTTTTGTATATGGTCCTTAAATATGAGTATGTCTGTTATTTCCTCATGAGTACATTTGCGACCATGCATCTTTGGCAGGAATATAACAGGAATAAGCTAAGTTTTTCTCAATTCACCCTTTCAGGTGCTATAATTTTGATAGCTGGCTGTTACATTTTATCATTGTAAAAGTTTCTAATGTCTTTATTTTTTAGACTAACAGAGCAGTATATATTAAATGTATTGTCCCTCTCCAACTTTTAAAAAATTATTTGTTGATTGATTCATTTATTTTTTTGATGAAAGCCCATGGTTTTGTTTGTTTTTGTTTTTGTTTTTGTTTTTTGGTTCAGTGGGTTATAATTCATTATCATCGTTATAATTCATTCATTTATTCTGTTCAAAGTTTCTTAGATCAACTCTTTCAAGATCGTTTTTATTGTCCATGCTGTTAGTATTCTTTGATCCAGTCCTTTATTCTTTTATATTATAGATGTTTGTTACAGTTAGATGACATAAGGTTGTATACAACTCATCAACCAACTTACAGATGTTACATGCTAATTATTTACTTTCACTGCTTTGTCTCCATAACAATCCTACAGAATAATGATAATTTTCAAACCTTTTAATGGAGAGATGGAATATAGAAACGTAGATTTGTATAATGCGTACATACTCATTGCCATTTTGGTGGCTGCTTCCAGGTCCTTTCACTGGGCTATGCCTGTATGTGTTTGTTCCTTATATATGTACATAGACCTCCACACATAACATGTTTACAGTTAGATGCATATTCAAGTTTTCTTTCTTTTCCCCTGACATTGAGGAATCTTATTCATGCTATTTATAAATTATTGACTGCTTGTATCAGTGAATGATGTGGATGAACCAGTCTCTCATCTCTGACGTCCTTTGCATAGATTTTCTTTTAACTACCCAGACTCTTGTTGTGCCTTACCATATTGTTCTTACACGGGAGCAGGTTCACTCTCTTGGGTTCAGATATTGACATTTTCTTTTAAGAGTTAGAATGAAAGTAGTAATTTTTAATTTCTTCTTTTTCCTTCTTTTTTACAGCCTTGGATGCTCGCCTCGAAGTTGGACTAGAACAGCAGGCAGAACTTATGTTGAAAATGATGTCTACTTTGGAAGCAGATTCCATTTTACAGGCATTAACAAATACATCTCCTACATGTAAGGAAAATTACTATTCCTCATGTATTCCTGTGAGTAACTTATCTCTTTTATTACAGGTGCTTTCAGCAAAGACGTTTTAAAATTGAGTCTATATTGTGAGAAGAACAGTTGATACGTATGTGACCCCTCTTTTTTTCCAAAAAAGAACAAAAGAATTGACAAAATACCTCCATAGAGTGCTCAAGCTAAGTCCTAAAACCTGAGTCTTGCTTTGTTAGGCTCTTGTGGGACTGAAGCAATGCCTAAACTAGCCTGTGTAACTAGTTGTCTTGAAATCTGTTAACTTCTAGTATGCAAAGTACTATTTTCATATTTGTCAATTGGACCAGTTACTTGAACCCAAGAGTTGAGAGAGGGGTTTGCTAATGAATGATCTATGGCAATGCAAGGCAAACTGTAAAGGGTCTCGTAGAGTGACTATTTTAGATAGTGTTGGCCACATAGCTTCTCTTGTATCCCTGTAGTTTGTTTTTCTAGAAAAATCGCCTTATGCAATATATAATGAAAGGTTGTGTTTCAGTAAAACTTTGTTTAAACAAAGGCAAATGTCTTTCTCCCCATGCCATAGGGTTTGGTTTTGACTGAACTTTTTTTAAAAGAGAAAGATTGAGTTGTTGAGCTAAGCAGAGAGTGATGTTTTTATTTAAGTTGTGCCTTCCTTGGGGTAGAATAAGTAAAGGACTGTAACAAGTAAATTATCCTGTGTCTTACAGTAAATGAGTAATTTTCTTGAAAGAGAAACTAAATGTTTTCAAGTTACTCTTTAAGTACCTTTTTAAAGTCGCTTTAAAAAAAATTTTTAAAAAATTATTTTTTGTGTGTGTGTACCGTCAAATTGGATCCGACTGGTACAGGAGGAGATTTTCCCTCCTTCTCCAGCAGAGCTTCTGGTGGATTCAAACCATGCACCTCTGGGATTGCAGTACAGCTTCTTGCCAGTAGGCCACCAGAGCTCCCTACCTTTTTTTTTTTAAAAGAGAAAGATGGAGTTGTTGAGCTAAGTAGAGAGTGATGCTTCTATTTAAGCTGTGTTTTCCCTGGGGTAGAGTGAGTAAAGGGCTATAACAGGTATAGTCCAAGATGATTGCTACATGTCTTACAGTATTTTTTATTTACTCTTTTTTTCCCCCTATTTTTATTTCTTGAAAATTTAAAAGTGCCTAAAAACAGGTGGAGAAGTCTAATGGTCTATGATCTTAGCTTTTGTATACTAAGAGTTTAGTATTCTTTTGTCTCTTGTAATGTGGGACTTACTCTTTTGGGGATTCTGCCTCTGTGTGATCATTGGTGGCTTAAGACTGCCTATAGTAGCTCTTTTAGTTGATTAAACAACTTATTATAAGAGTTTTTTCTAATTGTGTTTACTTCTCCTAAAAGCACTTTCTTAATGATAGAGTTCATTATTGTTATTTGTAAAAACTGAAAATAAAAAGTGCTAGTTATAGTGGTTCATTTCTTTTGTTAAATAGATCTTGTATGTTTAAGAACTTCTTTCTTTAATGATTGCCCTTTTGACTTTGAAGTAATATATGTTGTATATTCAAGTATTTGCAATGCTATAGTAATGATTTTAGCCATTCTAAAGTATGTCACTTTTAAAAAAAAGATAACTGTACATATGATTAACACATTTTCTGAAGCTTGATGTGTAATATCTCAACTGTGTTTAACTTTCAGTGTCCCAATCTCCTACTGGAACTGATGATTCACTTCTAGGGAGCTTACAGGCAGCAAACCAAACTAACCAGCTTGTCATACAGTCATCATCTGTCCCAATGTTGAATGCTTGTTTTAACAAACTTTTCTCCATGCTTCAAGTCCACCATGTTCAGGTATGAGTTCAGGAGAAATGGTATGGTTTTACATACTTTTCCTAGCCTAAAGAATGATCAAAGTGAATGGGAGTATAAAAGGAGCAAGTGCCTTGTGGGAACGACCACGTGTAATCTTTTCCATCTTAACAAAAGGAAAACTGTCCCTGTCAGCCATATCAGTGATAAAAAACCAATTCCTTTGGGGTCAGACAGGTCCCACACACTCCCATACCTCTTTCTACACATCTTCACACCAGTCTTACTGCTTTACAGAGTCCAAAATCTGATGTGATACCCTCACAGACTACACAAAACCATTTTAGGGAAATCCAGAGCTTATAATCCAGGTTAGGAGCAGAATATAGTCAAGTTGACTCCTGAAATGTACTCGCAGACACCTCTAACATGAGCCTCACAGCTTTTAGGCCACTGTTTTAAAATTCTTAGTCATGCTAGGATTGGCTCCCCTACCTTCAGTTGTCCAACAAATTTAGGCGGTAGAGGCTTTTATCTCTGGTTCTAATGATGTAGCACTTCCAAGGTTCTGTCTCATGTCAGATCTCTTTCAGCCATGCTTGCTGCTACATAGGTGTAGCTGGAGCAAGAAAAACTATCTGGTTTCTCTCTAAGCGGAGCTACATTCCATTCTGCAACTTTTTTCCCTGAGCAGGGAAAATCTAATTCTCTTATTGCTAGACTGCTAAATTAAATGGAGAGACTAGCCAGTTCTTTTGTGGGTAAGCCAACATGCCCCATTAACATATTCCTCTCCTTCTACAAATGCAAAGGAAAGTCATATTGAAATATGAACTCCACAGGGAGATATTCTTCACCAACACTTAGTATTATATTTTAACTCAGTTGGAAAATACTTTGATAACCAGAGTGCCTTGATGATGATGATAGGCTAATTTTTATTTTTAAAGTTTTAGTGCCTTCTCTCACTGTCATTGCCATTGAGTTGGACCTAACTCATAGCTGGCCTTCCCTTGAGTTTTCAGAGGTTGTAAATCAAGCATCTTTCTCCTGAATATGCTGCATTTGGTTTGGCAGTGCAGCTCAGTGTGGTTACCATTACACTTACATATGTTATTTTTAGGCTTGAATCACCTCTTTCAATTTAGGAAACTGATTATAATAAACAAATTGCAGGTTTTAATTCAAATGTAAAACTTATTCAATAAGAAGTTTAAGATAAAAAAAAAATAAAAAAAAAAAGAAGTTTAAGATAAACTCAACTTTTATCTAGTTAGCTAGAGGAAATAATAGAAAATATTTTTACTCCTGGGGAGCTCTGGTGGCCTAGTGGCAAGAAGCTGCACTGCAATCCCCGAGGAACACGGTTCGAATCCACCAGGTGCTCTGCCGGAGAAGGAGGCGCAATATCCTCCTGTACCAGTCAGATCTGATTTGACGGTACACGCACACAAAATAATAAAAAAATTAAAAAAAAAGAAAATATTTTTACTCCTATAAAAGACAGACATAAAATGTTTTGTTTACATTTATATTTCCTTTTACAGCATAATAGATTAAATTTCCTGTCCATTTTCAATCTTTTTCAGTTGGAGTCACTTCTCCAATTGTGGCTCACATTGAGCTTGAATTCTAGTTCATCTGGAAACAAAGAGAATGGAGCAGATATTTTTTTATACAATGCTAATCGTATACCTATCATTTCATTAAATCAAGGTAAGTTGTATTCTAACAAATACTGTTGTTAGATGCTTGATACCATTGCTGATTCATAGTGACTTTATCTGTGTACATTGGATCTAAACCCTGCCCTATCTTGCATTATGCTCACAACCTCTGCTGGGTTTAAGACAATTAACTCCATCTTGTTGAGGATCTTCCTCTCTTCATCTGACCCTCCAGCTTTCCAAACATGATTCCCACCCCACCCCCCCCTTAAAAATAATGCCCAAAATATGTGAGACCGAGTCTTACTACTTTTGCCTCTAAGAAGACTTCTGGCTGCACATCTTTCAGCATAGATTGATTGGTTCTTTTGGTAGTTCTCATGATACATTCACTACTCTTTACCAATACCACAAATCAAAAATTCTTTATTTTTGTCTTCTAGTTAATAACAAAACCCTTGTCATTTTAGCATTCTTTCACTGTGCATTTCAGTGACATTGTGTTTAAAGTCAGTAACATAGAAGAGATAAAAAATAATTTAGAAAATGTGTATAACTTTTGAGGTTATAAATTTTAAGTTGTAATGTAAGATCCTTGGTCAGGCTAGTTGGAACCCTTTTGGTACTGACTAATTACACTCAGCATGATGTTTACAAGGGTCATCTATGTTGTAGCATATTCAAGATACATTTCTCTTTATGGCCACATATTATTACAATGTATGTATGTATATATGTATGTATGTTTCACACTTTCTTTATCCACTACTCTGTTAATGACTAAGTAGTTACCATCTTTGGTTATTATAAGTAAGTGCTACAATAAATATTGATGTGTTCTGTGTTTCTGCTTGGTCTGTATTATTAACCCATGTCTGTGTACAACTAGAAATTATAATAGTCTGTTAATCTTTTTGTTTTATTTTCTTAGAATACCATCTTGTTAGTTTACTACATGTTTTTAAAAAATATGAATTAACTCCATGGGAATTGCTAAAGTGAAGAAAATGTTGATCTTCTGTACAAGTTGTCTTTTCTTTTTTTGTGATTGCAGGAATGGGAATGAGGGAGTAGGTTAATCATAGACTTTGATAGAAAGAGAACTAGTCTTCAATTCTAGCAATAAGAGTCTTAGTTATATTTTAAGTGCTAGGGAAAAAAGCGTCTGTTCATAGTGCTGCTTGCAAGAGAAGTACATTCAGATTTTTCAGACTTTTGCATTTTTTGCCCTAGAATCAGCATTATAGTGTAAAGGATGTTTTAAATACCCATTTTGAGTGCCATGCTTTGTTTGTACATTTTTAACAACTTTTTTGGCTTTTGTAAGCCAGACATCACAACAGAAATAAGAAACAAGGCACAGTGATTGCTTCATAATTATTTGAGGTTTGTGTTCTGGCTGTAAAACTGCATTGGGTTTTAGTGATTACCTCAATTCCAGTTTTTCCAATGTGTCTCCTTTTGGTTTTGGCTTTTGAATAAAATGTGACACTTTTCAAGTATCTATAAATTATGTTACAACAGAATGATATGTAGTATGGAAAAAACCCAACAGTTTATAGTGATAACATGTCTTACACTGAGCCTACAACTTAACCAAAAGCAGTACTTCAATAATGCTTATATTTTATTTAATTGGACTCATTCTGTTAGTATGTTTTGGGAACACTAGTTATTGAATGGTTTTAAAGAAAGAACTTATTTTGAATGCATTCTTTTGGTTTATAATTCTTGGGGCAGCATTTGTTTAGCTTTACTGAGTAAAACTTTTTTTTTCTCTTTTGCCTAGCATCAATAACTAGCTTCCTTACAGTGCTAGCTTGGTATCCCAATACTTTACTTCGGACATGGTGCCTTGTGCTTCATAGCCTAACGCTTATGACAAACATGCAGCTGAATTGTAAGTTCAAAAGTTTATTAAATTTAAATCGCTGAGATAACTTCAATTTCTTGCTATTAGATTTTTAAAAGAATGTTTTCCAAGAGCGAGATAGTAAAGATTATGATTGAATTCTTTATTTTATTATGCCTTTTTAAAATATCTTTCTGTGTGTTTGGTTATATGTTATAAGCTATCTGTTTATATTTTAAACCCTTATTAATTTCATGTGCCCTTGAGTTGATTCAGACTCTTAACCATTTGAAAACAAATTGAAACTGCCCCGTATGATTTTAGACTTAACTAGTTGTTCAAAGAAAACAGATTTCTGTTGGGGTATAACCTAAAGTTTTTATTGCTAGCCTCAGGTTGATTATGCAGAGTGTCTTTGCACATACAACTGACTTATCCATTGTAATATTTATGAACTTGAATGACTAGCTTTGCCTTCTGTTTCCTTTATCTAAAGAGATATTTTATGAACATAATTACCCTATTTAGATTAAAGTGTTTATTGTGCTTTCTATCCCCAACCAATTTTTAAATTCCTGGTTTACTGTGGTTATCTGCTATATCTGAGTCTGTACTCACCTGTAGAGCCTTGTATGTGTCAGACTAGAACTCCATAGAAGTCTCAAGTCCTGATTTTTAATGGATCACCAGCCTTTTCTCCCAAGTCTTCTCTGGGGTGGACTACACTGTTAGCCTATGGGCTAACAACTGAGTGTATGAAATGTTTGCACCACCTTGAGACTTTTTATTTAAGTTAAAGTATTAATATACTTTCTGAATGATCTTAGAAAAATTTTCTTTAGTCCTTAGGGTTTCTTTACATAGACCAATGTGATGATGACTACAAACTGATTTTATTCTTCATATTTAGATCTAGGTTCTGTGTAGAGTATTAATGTTTGTTTTAGACAGTAAAGGCTAGTAATTGTGAATTAACCTTTGGTTGTAGTTTATGGAGACAGGGAGATGTTCATTATTTCTATTCTTTTCAAGGACAGCATCACTATTATTATTTTGTTATTATTTAAATAACTGTGCTTCACGACTAATATAAAGGTAAAACTGATAAAACATAAATGATTTCTGACCATCCAGAATTTCTGTTTTCTCATTCGAAATACATACCCCTAAAATGTGTTCACAGCCAACCTTTTATCTGATACTAAAAATAGATTCACCTCAATGAGTTTCTTACCCGCCTTGTAACCTAATATTTTGCCCCTTCTCAGTGTAGAATCTGTATTTGCAAATCAGGAGAACTTATATGCCAAATTGAGTAGTGTTTTGTCTTTATTTGTCTTGAAAGGTTGATCTTTTCCTAGTTAGATACTAAGAATAGGTTCACCAAATAATACAGTGAGAAATTAGTATGTTCTTTTCTACTTGCTAAATTTTCAGACATAAAAGACAAAAAAAAATGAGTTTTCACAGTTGAACTATAAAAGTTGTGTGAGGAGACAGACATGGGTTTGCAACATCCATGATTATATAATAGGAATTTAAGCCCTGTTAACAAACTGACTACTGAAAATATGTGAAAGTTACTTGGAATGACAAGATGGTATTTGAAAATATTTACATTGTGTAATGGTCCATTTGGTAAGAGCCTTTTTTGTTCCTATTTCATAGCTGGTTCAAGCAGTGTCATTGGAACTCAGGAGAGTACTGCTCACCTGCTGGTTTCAGATCCCAACCTCATTCATGTCTTAGTGAAATTTCTTTCTGGTACCAGTCCTCATGGAACAAATCAGCACAGTCCCCAGGTAATAAAACTTTAAAAAATTAGTACTATATCCGAGATAGCGTGGGTATCTTTATAGTACCTGTATTCGAACTTTTTGTTGTAAAAATTACTGTGGATCATGCCTTCTCCCTCAAGCTCACTTCTAGAGGACCTTACTTCGGAATGCTGTTTCATGTGTTTGGTCTTAGAAATGAACTTTAAAATACTGTAAACTTCACATTGTATTTTGCTTTTCTCAGATTCTTCCACAGTTTGTTGTTGTTGTTTTTAAATTTAATATTGGGAGGGTGGAGGGAGCAGAGCAGGAGAAGGAGAGGAAGAACCTTGATAAGATGGATTGATTCAGTCACCGGGGCAATGGGGTTAGTTTTGTCAGAGACAGTATGGTTGACACAGAACAGAGCTGGGTTTAGGGCTCCTGTACAGTCGACAGCGCACAGCAGCAGCAATAACAATATTGGTTTATTTACAAAATTTCATATATAGTGTTTCATACTATTCTTTATTCACATTGTGTTCTATACAATCATTCCCAGTTGTTGGACTACAGTTATTGGACTATTCCCGCTGTTACTGTGTCTTTTCAGGTCCCTACCGGACCTTTCCCATTTCTTTTATCCCCTCCCTCCACCCACCAAATTGTGGGGGCTTTTTGTTTATTGAATTAGGATTGAGTAAAATATTTTATTTTTTTATATATATACACACACACACACACACACACACACACATTTTTATATATATACACACACACACATTTTTATATATATACACATATACATGCATATATATACACACACATATATAGACATACAGATATAGATAGACATGTATATAGGTAGACATATATATATAGACATTTAATAAAACATTCTAGACATACCTCAAGTTACTTAGTGTTCGTACTATTTTATCTTCTATTAATGAGACAGATACTTGCTTGGCAAACAGATTTTTCTTTTTCTTCATTTATGTAGCTGTTTTTGGGGGAAATTTGTTTTTATTACCTTCTCTGGTAGTTAATAAGTTCTTGACCTTGCTTGATCATCTTGCTGAGTTATTTTATTTGGAAATGCTTAAGGTTGCTTGTCAAAATCAATTCAGAAGTTCTTTATACTTCTGAGAGTCTACAAAGCTACTTTTTATGTAATTCTGGTGAATATTATGCATACAATTAAATGTCCCTTAATTATATAAATCAATAGATAATTATTGACAGTGGAATCTAAATTAGAATTTAAAACAAATATATTAAGGCCTAATTATTAATTTTTTTTATTATTATTACTCTACTGATGCTTTCCGCTTTCATTCACATGACAAATTAAACTGTAGCTGCTGAACTAACAAGTTAGGAAGAATGATTCTGTAAATGGAACAACAGTAATCATTGTAATCTCCTTTCTCTTCAGGTTGGCCCAACAGCTACTCAAGCTATGCAAGAATTTCTTACCAGATTACAGGTGCATCTTTCTTCAACCTGTCCTCAAATATTCAGTGAATTTTTGCTCAAGTTGATCCATATACTTTCAACAGAAAGGTGAATTTCCGTGTACAAATATATTCTTGTCATATAAATACAGTATTTAACTCACTGAATATACTTTCACTAACTTAACATTTCAGGAACTTATAAGCATGACATGTTAGAAATAAAGAGAAAAGTTTTATTGTGCTTTCTGATTATTTTGCTTGCTTTACTTTTTTCATAGATTATTATAATTCTTCTTATCTTTCTACATACAAAGAGGATGAAGAGTATTTGTATATTTATTTTTACGCAAATACATGATAAAAATCCTGAAAATGATAGTTTAAAAAAATTGGATAATTTTTATATAAAAATACAATATATTTTATGATAATTTAATATAGTAATCATAAATAAGGGATCACTGGTGTCCTAATGGTAAGAAGCTACACTTCTTTCCAAAAGTTCATGGTTCTAATGCACCAGCTGCTCCACAGGATAAGGATGGGCAAGCTCCTCCCGTGCAATTACTGCCTCTGACAACTTGATGGACAGTCAGCTACGGGTCTCTTCTGACTCGCTGGTACACAACAAAAATTAAAAATAAATTTATGAATAATAGGTTCTTTGAAAAGAAACTGACAATGATGTGCTGTTTCTTATAATGAGTGAATGCTTCCCTATGTTACTCAGTGTAACATGTATCATGATACTGTCATATTTAGACAGATGAAGAGACAAGCCATAAAACATTGCTTTCTGATGAAACTCCTTTTATTAAATATATAAACACTTGTTTTTTATTAAATACATAAAACACTTATTTATTAAATATATTAAACACTTGTTTTACATATTGAAAAGCTATATGAAAACTGAAGCTAGACATGTTCGGTTATTAAAAGACATTAAATCCAGTTGTTATCACTATTGCTTTATTTCATTTGTAAGGTGCCATTGCCTTAAAAACATTACATAAATAAATTTAAGATACATATTTATGAAAATGATTATGTAATTTTTAGTTTATGACTTCTTGAGAAATAAACAAAATAAAATAGGAAAAAAACCACATTGCCAGACACTTTTTAAATTGATGACCATGCTTAGAAACACATTTGCCATCATTTGCGGCAACGTGTTAAATTTATAAAGTTAACAGAAATCAGTAACTACTTTAATAGTAGTTATTTTTGATAACTAGTAGAAAATCCCTAGTTCTTTGTATGAATAATATACATACAACATGTATATAGATTATGTTTTATAGTAACTACAGGAAATTTTGCTTTCTAGGTATTGTACTCATTTGTGACTACTTCTGCCTTTATATTCCTGTATTGAAAACCATTAATGTGGTTTATAATTGTTATTGCTCTTTTAAAAGAAACAGCTTAAAATGTTCCATTTATAATAACACTGATTTCTTTCATTCCTCTTGCTTGGTTTTAGTTTGCATTTTCCTATATTAGATCATTAACTTGAGAATTTTTTTCTATTATAAATGCTTTAAATTTCTTTAAACCAACATTTTAGCTAAATCCCAAAATTTCTTGTATTTTACTTTTATTAAATTAAAAGTAATTCTAAATTCTTTTATGAGATCTGGGGTCATAATTATGTAGAATTTTGCCTTTTTCATTTTGTCATGTTTTGGTTTAGATGTGCCATTATTGTCTAAATTAGGTCCCTTTATGTTTAGTATTATGTTAGTGTTTTGACTTTGTCATCATCTACTGTACCTTTCCTTCTAGTAGCATGTCATGTGTAATTTAGAATTAATGTACTCAGTCTGGCTTTCTATTGATTAGAGTTTCATGCTATATGGATTACTATCTCTTTTGACTAGTGAGATCTTTGTTTTTATTTAACAGAAATACAAGTTTTTTAATTGATAAACTTCTTTTTCATTCTCTCATTCTCTCCCACCAGAGTTCCTTCATTGGTCTGCATAGAACATTTGTACTTGTATTTAAGAAAATTATTGATATAATGGATTAAAATGTATTAGTGTTACTAATTTATTTTCTAGAAATCTTTTTTTAAAAAAATCTTTTCTGCCCGTTGTTTTTTATTTTATTGCCTCGTCTTCATTCTTTCTTATTTATTTGAACCAAAGAGCAAGACGTCTCTACGACTTTACCTTGAACATTTGGCTGCTTTTACATGTTTTTAAGTGTTTTCTAAACTACTGGTAGTGGCAGGTATTCTATAATTATAAAATCTGACCTCAGTCTTCAGCAAGATCACTGTATTTAAGTCTCACGTGTGACACATTATCAGTGTTTTTTATCCCTTGTGTGCTAGCAGAGTCTCCTTTAAATCTTTGGCTTTTATATGGGAGAACATTTCCTAATCTCCACCAATAAGAGATCTCTTTTAGTGATGGATTTGGATTATTTTTTACTTCTTTCTTCAGTTGATAAAAGGACTTTTCAGTTGTGTTTTTTGAGGCTAGTAGTTATTGACCATTTCCTATTGCATGGAATTAAGGCTTTTGACAGTTGAGGGGAGAAAGGTCTGAGCAGAGTTTTGTTCGTTTCTCAAAGTGTCAGCACCCCCAGATCTCTTTCTTTCTCCCATCTGACTTTAGACTTTTGAGGAATGTTCTCTCTTGATTTTTTGCCTTGATCATCATAATCTTTGTTAGTATCTGTGGACAAGGGCTTGTCGTGAACTTTTGAGGATTTTGTGTTATACTATTACATAGTTGGCAGTTAGCAATTTGTTAAAGGTTAGCTGAATGTTTCTTCTTACTTTGTATACTGCTCGGATCTTTTCTTCCCAGATTCTGCCTCAAGAGAGCAAACATTCTCATCCCATCTTTTTGGAGATACCTGTGTTTTGTTGGTTATCCAGTTATTTGGTTGTCCTGTGACTTCAGCTCTCTGGATCATTAGAATTTATAACTTTGTAGATAATTTGATTAATTTGATAATTTGATATTAATTGGAAGCAGCGTTCTTTCAAGCTTTCTGAATTTTCGTTGTAAGTGTATTTTGAGAACTGTCACTCTAGATTCATAAGAATTATTTAATCGAATCTTTAGTAGAGAGAATTAATATCCATAGGGAATATTTAAATAAATAATATTGAAGATGTAAGAGACCAGAAATCATTCACCCATAAGAAGTGCTTTGTGATTGTCCCTTTCATTTCCTTCTCCTTAGTTTTTTAGTTAAGAGCTCTGGTGGCATATTCTTTAAGCTACTCCAGTGCTAACCAGAAGGCTATGTGTCTCCTGCAGTTTGAAACAACCAGCGGCTCCAAGGGAGAATGATGAGCAGTCTCCTCCAATCAGTTGAGATCCTTGAAAACCTCATGGAGGGTCTCTATGAGTAGAAATCACTTCGAAGGTCTTGAGTTTGAGTTTGTGGGGTTTTGGGTGGTTTATTTTTCCCGGTTGAACAGGAAGCTTTTTTATTTTGTATAAAATGAAGGCAAAACTCAAGAATTTAGGGAGACTTGGAAACTATTAAGTAGAAAATCAAAACGCTGAATTCCAAATTCATTGTATTTCCTCCCCTCCACCCCACATTTTGTGGTAGTTTTCTTTTACTACTGTTTAAATTGAAGTTAAATTTTACTTTTTTTCTTTTTTCTCTCTAGGGGTGCCTTCCAGACAGGCCAGGGGCCTCTTGATGCCCAAGTGAAGCTCTTGGAATTCACTCTGGAGCAGAATTTTGAAGTTGTTTCAGTTAGTACTATTTCTGCTGTGATAGAATCGGTCACTTTTTTGGTGCACCACTACATTACTTGCTCAGATAAAGTAATGTCTCGAAGTGGATCAGATAGCTCAGTGGGTGCTCGAGCATGTTTTGGCGGACTCTTTGCCAACCTCATTCGTCCAGGTGATGCAAAAGCAGTTTGTGGTGAAACGACAAGAGACCAACTCATGTTTGACTTGTTAAAACTGGTTAACATTTTAGTACAGCTGCCTCTTTCAGGCAATAGGGAATATAGTGCAAGAGCATCTATGACCAGCAATACGACAGACAGTGTTTCAGATGAAGAAAAAGTCTCAGGAGGCAAAGATGGCAATGGAAGCAGTACTAGTATTCAAGGATCACCCGCGTATGTTGCTGACTTAGTGCTAGCCAATCAACAGATTATGAGCCAAATTTTGTCTGCTCTGGGCCTGTGTAATAGCAGTGCCATGGCAATGATCATTGGTATGTATTCCAGATATAAATCTTATACTTATTTCTGGTTCTCTGTCTATTGTCTTTACAACATATGGCTTTTTAAGTACAGTGCTTTTCTGTTGAATACTTGTTGTCATGACTGAATTTTATGCATGAAGACTTAGAGACTGGCTTTGAATAATATGTTAAATTGGAGTTAAATTGAAAAACATTACTTAAATGTGAATTTCTTTTAAAAATAGAAAATAATAAGGAAAACTGTTTTCGTAAGTCAGGTACTGTATAATATAATCAAACATCTTTAACATTTCAGACAAAGATAAGTCTGTCTTTGAAATACATTTTTTTTTCTCTAATGCAAAGAGACAGATTTTGTATTAGAAAACTGTTAAGAGCTGATACAGTCTTGTGCTGCTTAACGCCTAACCACATGTATGTCCAAGGTCCCAGTCTCTCTGAATATTAAAATTTTCAGTTGCATAACAATGTAATAAATGTTGCTTTGTGTGTACATAATAACATTATAATTACAGTATTAAAGATGAATTTACCTCATTTATAATGTAGGGGTTGCCTGTATTTTTACAGTATGTGCACAATGTCTGAATCACATCACATCGTATTTCGTGGAAGTTAATTTTTTAAAAAATATTTTCATTTCTACATATTTAAAACAAAATCTTTTTTTATGCATTTTTACTTTATGGTATTTTATCTTTGTATAATGCATACAAATATGCCTTCTTTTTTATTAGATTCATTGAAGGATGATTATGTAACTTTTTGTGCAGTTCTTGTTAGTTGAGTGGTATTACCCATAATAGAGTACACACTGATAATTATGGTCAATAACAGTCATATAGTATTATTTTTTTAGTAGTATCACAAATAGGTGGCTTTATCAAACAGCTTTTTTTCACAGATTAGATAGCTTGAAATCTCAATTCAGAGTGAAGTCTCTAAGGGAAGCCTTATTCTGTCTTGTAGCCCTAAGGAAAGTCTTAGCCTCTTAGAAGTGAGCTCTTATGGTAGTCTTATGTCTTTTTTTTTTTTTTTTTTTCTTCTTGGTAGTCTTATGTCTGATATGTCTGTTCCCCTATTTCTTTTTGGTAGGTTGTGTTTAATCTCTTTTTATCTTAAAAGAGATTTATTCAAGATACAGCTATACTAATACTGTCTCTGTAATATAGTGGTATCTAGTTTCTGAATGGAAGTATAATCGTAGATACAGAGGTTAGGATCTATAAACTTTTAAAAATAATTTTTTATTGTGATTTTAACAAAAGTTTATGGAAAAACTTGGATTTTCATTCATTTATTCATTCTTGGACATACTCTTCCCTACAACCCCCCACCTTGTTCTCTTTGAAAAATTAATTCGTTGCTGCACAGTTTCGTCGCGCACGCCCACCCCGGTCCACCTTACTACCCACCTCTTATTCTGGATATAACGTTTTTTAAGAGGGACAGAATTCAATTCACATATTGAATTGTGTAAATGAATATATACCTATTTAAATGTTCTGAGTATATATGTACTCGGAACTATTTATGTACTCATTCAGATATCACAGAAAATAACTTTTAAACTTTGATAAGTTAGCATTGATTCTTTTTTACTTAAACAAAATATTCTTGCACACTCTTCTATTTACATTAGGAGCAAGTGGATTACATCTTACCAAACATGAAAATTTTCATGGTGGGCTGGATGCCATATCAGTTGGGGATGGATTATTTACCATACTGACAACTCTTAGTAAAAAGGCTTCTACAGTCCATATGATGTTACAGCCAATCTTAACCTACATGGCCTGTGGGTATATGGGCAGACAAGTAAGTTCAATCCAACAACATTTATAGTAGTAGGTAGTTTTTGGGTGGAAGAGTAGAGAATGCTATATATAGGACATGAAGAAGTAAACTTATTTATAATACATATTGGGGCAAGAGAAGCATCAATAGACACAGATTATTTAATAGAATTTGGGCAGTGAAATATATTTGAAATACTATTTTCAAAGTTGACCTTAATGATACAGGAATAAAAAACATATCGCTTATTCTTAAGTTTTAGATTTCTTTCTGTAGTTCTGAGAAATAATACTTGAAGTAAGTTAAATATTACAGTAATTTAAAAAGTAATTTAAGCTGGAAAAGGAGGGGGCAATCTCCTCCTGTACCAGTCAGGTCTGATTTGACGGCACACGTAAAAATAATACAATAAAAAAAAAAATTTAAAAAGGAGTAATTTAAAAAGTATAATTGGTTTGCATATTGCCTTTTAAAAATTAAATTATAGGATCTAAGCTAACATTTTAACATCAGTTAATTTGACTTTTCGAATGCAATTTGAATGCCTAATCTTTTAAGGAGATTTGTATATATCTGTGTATAATTATTTTCTTAGCTATTTATTGTATGTATATAAAATACTTCACCAGTGAAATTTAAAAAAAAAAAGATACCCGAGAAGGCCCCTTTTTAATAAAATATGACCAGTATACAAGGTACTCTGTAGGGAGTTTAAGTAATGGTTCCTCCCTGGTGGAAGGAAAAAGGATCTCTCCACCCATGTGATTCACAGCCTTGAAAACCTACCAGACAGTAGATTATTAGTCGTTCTGATTCTACAGCAATGAAAGTCTTTATCTAGTGGGGAAGCATAGTAAATTAACATAAATATCAAACATGTTAGTATTATATATAAAAACATTATATTTTGTAAAATGTTATGCATTCTCTTATGTGTTTTGGTATACATTTCTATTAATATGATTGTCATAGGAATTAAGTATGAAGCTACTAAAGGCACTGTAATGTTTGATTTTCTTAAAAATTATTTTAGAAGCTAATAATTGCTATTTTCAAAGTCCTGATTTACATGTTTCTGTTTTGTTTTCTTTTTTTAGGGCTCTCTTGCTACTTGCCAGTTATCTGAACCATTATTATGGTTCATTTTGAGAGTATTGGATACTAGTGACGCCTTAAAAGCATTTCATGATATGGGTGAGGAAAAGTTCTACAAACTGACATTTTGATACAATCATCTTATAATAGTTTCAGTTCACCTTAATATGGTCTCCTATTAAAGATTGACTCTTCTTAATGATAAACTGTCCCTCCTATGACAATTTTTATTTAGTGTATTTTATACATTCAGGTGGTGTCCAGCTCATTTGCAACAATATGGTTACTAGCACAAGGGCTATTGTAAATACTGCGCGAAGTATGGTTTCAACAATTATGAAATTTCTTGACTCGGGTCCAAATAAAGCTGTTGACAGTACCTTGAAAACAAGAATACTAGCATCTGAGCCTGACAATGCAGAAGGGATCCACAACTTTGCACCTCTTGGTAAGACAAATCTTAGGTTTGAATTAATAATAGTTGTGTGAAGCAAAATTAATTGTTCCATGAAGCTGATGATATATCATCATTTTATCCAAAAGTTGGTTTAAACATTTTACTCTTGCTAAGGAAGTTCTTAGCACTTCTTTAGATTTAAAGTTTTTTTAATGTCTTTTAATTTTTTTGGTGTGTGTACCATTAAATGAGACCTGATTGGTACTGGAGGAGATTGTCCCTCCTTCTCCAGCAGGGCATCTGGTGGATTCAAACTGCACACCTCTGGGATTGCAGTGCAGCTTCTTGCAACTAGGCCGCCAGAGCTGGCCATGTTTTTTTTATTTCTGTATTTAAATTGATGCATAACCTCATGTCAGATTTCCTTGTATTAATCAGATTTAAATGTGTGGTTTTTTATTTTTTAAAAAAAATTCACAATATTTATATTGTGGTATAATACACATCATAAAAGATGAGCGTTTTTAAATATGTACTTCAATGGCAGTAATTAAATTTGTGGTAATTTTTTAACTATCACAACCCTAATACTAAAACTATTAAATATTAAAACTATAGAACAGTATCATTAATACCATGTTAAAGCAGCAAGTAAAATACTGCTGAAGATAATTCAGAAACATCTAGATTATTATGTAGATAGGGAACTGCCAGAAGTTCAGGCTGGATTTACAACAGGCTGAGGCACCAGCAATATTATTGATAATGTCAGATGGATCCTAGCTGAAAATAAAGAATACCATAAGAATGTCTATTTATGACTGTGCAAAAGCATTTGTGCGTGGATCATAACAAGTTATGGTTAACATTGAGAAGAAATGGGAATCGCAGAACACTTATTTGTTCTCATGTGGAATCTATACCTAGACCAGAAGGCTATTGTGTGAACAGAGCAAGAGAACACTGCATGGTTTAAATTTAAGAAAGGTGTGCATCAGGATTTTATCCTCGCTCCATACCCATTCAGTCTGTATGCTAATCAAATATTTGAGAAGCTGGATTTTATTAAGAATTTGGCATCAGGATTAGAGAAAGACTCATCAATAAAACCTGCATTGTGCTGACAGCACAAACTTGCTCAAAGAAATGAGAACTTGAAGTGCTTGCTGCAGAAGTTCAAATGATACAGTCTTCACTATGAATTTCATCTCAATGTCAAGAAAACAAAAATTCTTACCACTGGACTTAGAGGCAGAATCATGATAGGTGGAGAAAAGATTGAAACCGTCAGAAATTTTATTACTTGGATCCACAGCCAACACCAGCCGGGAGGAAATCAGGAGATATTGCACTGGGAAGGTCTGCAGTCAAGGGACCTCTTCAAATTATTGAGGAGTAGTGATACTAGTTTGAGGAATAACATACATCTGATTTAGGCCATAGTCTTTCTGATCACTTGCTATACATCTGATAACTGGACAGGGATTAAGTGTCCTGAGAAGAGGGTGCTTAGATAAATGTCATGTAGCTAGAATTTTGTTTCTGCCCTTTTGTGTCTTTCTTACATCACTCCATGTATAATTTTTACTTTTGTTTTAGAAGCAAAATTTCCCTATGGTGGAGATGTTTATTGCTAACTTTTTGTTTCTTTCATGTATATTGTGTCTTATACAATCATTCGTATACCTTTTATTTTATATAATTCTTACTGATCTATACCCATCATCACCCCATCTCTTCAAGTGCCCATTAAATCTTTCTTGTTCCTTCACTCTCCCCGTCTGCCCCAACCTCTGCTATCCTAGTAATTTTTGCCTCCACTTTCCTGTCCTACCTCCCCCCTTCCCTGTCCTCATTCTACTTTTCTCCCTTCCCTTTCACCTTTTGAATATTTATACATATCTTGCTCCTTTACTCTCCTGTTTTCACAATACTGGCCACATCCTGTATTTGTCTTTATGTGACTGAGTTATTATAGTCAGCATAGTGCTCTCTAGACTTTTCCGTGTTATATAGTGTATTTTATGAAACTATTGTTCCTGCCGATAATGCTTTTTAAATGAGATTATCTAGATAAAAGTTTTAAATACAGAAGTTTTGTCATTTTTGTATTTCATACAGTTCTTTTCATTTTTATAATTTATGTTCATTGACATCTTGGAGTAAATATTCTTTTCAATGTGACATTTGTATTAGACATTGAATTTTATTTACATCACTCGAGAATTATTTTACGAGATTTGTTTTTGTTACTTCAATTGGAACTTTTAAACTTTTCATGTGTAATGTTAAAAGAAAAACTTGCTTCCTTGCTGGTCTGGTCAATTAGATGCCTTGATGTTTTGTTAAATACTGACAAATAAATACCCTTATGCTAAGGAAACCAAGTATATTAACAGCATTAAATGTTTCCAGTTAATTTCCGTTTTTGTTAGTCATCAGGACAACGCATAATGTTCTATCAAGATTCTTTTGTAAGTTTTGTTTTTATTTCTAATCTCTTCTCTAGGGACCATCACATCTAGCAGTCCTACTGCCCAGCCAGCTGAGGTGCTTTTGCAGGCCACTCCACCGCACAGGAGAGCTCGCTCTGCAGCCTGGTCATATATCTTCCTGCCAGAAGAGGCGTGGTGTGACCTTACCATTCACCTTCCTGCAGCAGTACTTCTTAAAGAGATACATATCCAACCCCACCTTGCATCTCTTGCTAGTGAGTAATATTTGGTAAATTAATGCCATGGGAAGAAACTATGATTTCTCAAAGGGAAAAAAAAAATAGCAAGAATATACATATACATGGTAATAAAACTGTTTAATTTGAAACAATTTTAATGTAATAACACTATGTACTGGGCTTGACTTGTGTCTGTCTGTGTGCCAGAGCTGCAGTATGCTCCATAGGATTTTCAATGACTGTGTTGCAAGTAGATCACAAGGCAATTTTTTTCACCTATCACCAAGTCATTTTCAGTGAGGTGGGATGATATGCCTAATTGCCCTCACACAGACAATGCCTGATGATATTCAGTAGATATATTTCAGATATATTTTGCTTTTTGCTTCAAATTTATTGTGATATTAAACTAACATGCATTCAAGGGGAGCTCTGGTGGCCTAGTGGCAAGAAGCTGCACTGCAATCCCAGAGGCACACGGTTCGAATCCACCAGATGCTCTGCCGGGAAAGGAGGGACAATCTCCTCTTGTACCAGTCAGATCCAATTTGATGGTACACACACACACACACTAATAAAATAATAAAAAATTTTAAATAAAAAAAAATTAACATGCATTCAATTACACATAAGAATCTCCACTGTGTAATGTGCAGTATATTGATGTTCTAACAAAGAGTTGGCACTTCAAATCCATCATCTATTTAAAAATGAAACATGGATAGTCTCCTCCTCTAAAGATTTACAGCCTTGGAAACCTGAAGGAGTGGTTCTGTGAGTTGGAGCCGATTCAGTGACAGTAAGTGGAGATAGCAGTCTTATTTTTTTCTGGTCAGATCTACTATCCACCATAGTGTCCATAGATAGTTTTCCCCATTATAAGATAAATACCTATGTTAAGAACTTTTTCTTGTAATGTTTATGTGTGATGACTTTCATTTAATGACATTGTTCATGGAATATATTTAATTGTAACTTTGAAAGGTAGCTGACTCAATGACTTTTTTGATAAATTATAGTTTAAATAAAAAAAGGGGCCTTTGAATTATTATTAAAATAGGAAATATTGATTTTTATTTTTAATTGTACTTTACAGTATGGTATCAAACTCTTAGAGATGAGTCACGGAGAAAGTAAAGAATTATCTAGTAATTTGTAAGCTAGTAGTTAGCTACTGTTTTCTTACAAAGAATCAGATAAGTCTGTATTGCATACGTTTTAATTAATTACTCTTTTAAATCAAAGTTAGACTTTTAACATACAATTACCATAATATAGGTCAAATATTTTATATTGGTAAAGAGATCCCCAAAATAATTATGGTGACTGTCAGTGGCCAAGATATGGTATATAAATTTTCTTTATTAAATTTCTGGCATGTAAAATTCTTAATGTAACTGAAGCCTTTATTTTAGTAGGATTTTCTTTTGGAAGCTTAATTTTATTTTTTCTTTATTAATTCTTTCTACAGCCTGCCCATCCTCAGTATCTGTTGAAGTAAGTGCAGATGGGATAAATATGCTGCCTTTATCCACACCTGTTGTCACAAGTGGTCTCACCTACATCAAAATTCAGCTTGTGAAAGCTGAAGTAGCCTCTGCTGTCTGCCTTAGACTGCATCGTCCACGAGATGCCAGCACTTTAGGGCTTTCACAGATTAAATTACTGGGTCTCACAGCTTTTGGAACTACTTCTTCAGCAACAGTCAATAATCCCTTCCTTCCCTCTGAGGATCAGGTATCCAAGACAAGGTATTTTGTATTACTCATTATTTTGAAAGGTTTTTATGATTCCATTATTTTTTAGGTTTAATGAAGATGATACATTTGTAGAAGCAGAATTCTGATGTTTGTTTTAATTGAGATTTAGGTGCATTTTATTCTTGAGATGATACTTTCCATGTTTCAAGTTATGAGTATGGTTTCCATTTCTTTGAATTATCTTTTTTTTTTGTGGCTCAAAGAGTTTATTTTGAATACTTAATATAGGTGTACTACAGAAACGGAAATATAATGAATCGCGTAGAAAACCCAACAAAGTCCCAGAGAGGAGAAACTGGCGGGAGCGTTTGGCCGCGGTCTCGGCCAGGCACAGCCCCGAGGGTTCCAAGTCACGCACCTGCCTCGCCCGCTTGGTGACTGGTCAGCCATCGGCTTCCCGGTCTCGGGCACCCAGAAGGAGCTAAAGGAGCGAATTCTCTTCTAATATGGAGTTCTAAAATACTTACCATTAGAAATATATCTGACTAATACAAACTGATCAAAATGAAAAATGACTTAGTCTTATATGGTAATTCCTGAAGTCAGCAGGATTATCTCTGAAATATATAAACTGAGCAAATAAATACTTTTATATATCCCCTGATCAACTTTGTTGTTTTTATTGTTGTTGTTGTTGTTATATACCAGAGTCAGAACCAACCCATAGCTGAACTACAGCAGATTTTCAAAAGTAGTTAATTGCTCAGGAAGACACTGCTCATCTTTCTGTCAGGGAACTGCTAGTGAATTCAAACCACGTGCCTTTGGTTGCAGCACAGTTTCTCACCAGTTTGCTGCTAGAACTCCTCTAGCCAACAGTTACTTTTAGTAAAGTATGATGACCATAAATTTTATAGACAGCTTTTATTAAAATTTTACCTCATGAAAAAATTAGTCATTTATTTTTTAATTAACATTCTGCTAGGACTTTAGAGTTTGCTAGCGTCTAATCCTATGCATGCCATTTCTTTCCCTTACTGAAATGTTTGCATGACAGCGAGGTGGGTAGGCAAGGGAGATGAGGGAAGATCCAGCACTTAGTGCTTAAATGCTGTGATGTAGTTAGGGAAATTAACTATATAGTTAATTATTTATTGGTTTGCATAGAATTCTAAAATGTTATTTTTCTTTCTTTTTAATGTAGTATTTTTGAAATGCCGCATGTTAATTTTTAAGAAGCTCATTTTACACCTGAAATAATTTGAAAAAGTACTTTATAAACCATTTTGTGTTTCTGTATTTCAGTATTGGATGGTTACGGTTGTTACATCATTGCCTTACTCACATAAGTGATTTGGAAGGAATGATGGCAAGTGCAGCTGCGCCAACTGCTAATTTACTTCAGACTTGTGCTGCCTTATTGATGTCACCTTACTGTGGAATGCATTCACCCAACATTGAGGTTGTGCTTGTAAAAATAGGACTGCAATCTACTAGAATTGGCCTGAAACTCATAGACATTCTCTTGCGAAACTGTGCAGCATCAGGCAGTGATCCTACAGGTGACAGTTAACTTTGATTTTACCTGTCTGCAAAATAATGGCTTTTGATAAACTGTGATCGATTCTGCTCCTGATTGGTTTCCTTTCCTTTAATTAAGCCATCATTATTTGTTGTTAAAATTAATTTACAGCTGGGTTATTTTAATGAATACATTAAAAAGTCATTGAGCAAGCATTACATTTCAAGTTTGCTTGTTTGACGTATTTTTTTCCCTCAATTCTTATGCTGCCAGATTTGAATAGTCCTTTACTTTTTGGAAGACTGAATGGACTTTCTTCTGACTCTACAATAGATATTCTTTACCAACTTGGAACAACTCAGGATCCTGGAACAAAAGAGAGGTATGTGGTGACTCCCGTTCTTCTCTTAAAACCATAAGCACACACTTACGCGCGTGCACATTCTGTATGTGTTACATGCTAATATATGTGAATGTATGTTAAGCATATTTGAAGTCTACTAGAATTGTATGTGATTATATTTGATATACATATAATTATATATAGTCTACTAAAATCATTTATGCAAACATATTTGAAGTCTACTACAATTAAAAATACTGAATTGTCACTGTTATGTGTCATCAAGTCATCTATGACTCATAGTGTGACCTATAGCTCTGAAACCTGCCCTATCCTGAGTCATTTTCACTGTGCTGACAACTCTTTACCCTAGTTACTGTATCAGTCCATCTCATTCGGTTCTTCCTCTCCTGTGCTGTCCCTCCATCCTTCTGTCCATGATGTCCTTCCTGGGCACACACCCAAAGTATGTGAGCACAGAGCTTCAAAATCCTTCCCTCTAAGGAGAAACTTGGTTTCACCTCTCTAGGTCAGACCCATTTTTTTCTCTTGACAGCTCAGAGGTGTCAGTTCTTCTTTTGTCATCCTTAGTCATTACCAGCTCTCTGATGCATAGTAAGTAATTGCAAAGACCTAGGCATAGATTATTCGCACCTTAGTACCTAGACTGACATAATTTCTCTTTAGCACTTGGGAGAGGTCACTGGCAGCAGGCTTCCCCCATGCAGTTCATCTTTTTATTTCTTAGCTGCTGGTGCCAAGCTGAATTTATTAACAGCTTCACTCTCTTCTTCATCTATCATGGTGCTGCCAGTTGGCCCAGTGGTGAGATTCTTTATCTTCTTGATGTTGAGCTTCAATCCATACTAAAGACTACAGTCCTTGACCTTTTGCAGTAAATGCTTCAGGTCTTTCTCAGTTTCAGCAAGCAAGGATCAGTCATCTATATAATCATGTTGTTGATGAATCTTCCTCCAGTCCTGATGCCACATTCCTCCTCATAATGCTCATTCTTCCAAATGATCTGTTTTTCATACTAATTAAAGAAATATGGAGACAGGATGTATCCCTGATGCACTTCTTTTCTGATTTTGAACCATGCAGTATTTCCCTGCTCTGTTCTGAGGACTGCTTCCTGGGTCAGTAATTGGTTTCACTAAGCACAAACGGGTGTTCCAGGATTTTCATTCTTCTCAAGCCACAATTTGCTGTGACCCACACAGTCAAATGCCTTTGCAGAGTCAGTAAAACAGGTAGATGTTCCTCTGGTACTTTTTACTTTTGGCTAAGATCCATTTGACATGGGTGATAATGTCTCTAGTGTCAGCCTCTTCTAAATCTGGCTTGTATTTCTGATAGTTTCCAGTTGTTGTACTGTTTTAGTCTGTCTTGGATAAGCAGGATTTGCTTACATGTGATATTAGTGATCTTGTTCAATAATTTTCATACTCTGTTGGGTCACCTTGTTTTGGAATGGAAATTCCAGTCAGTTGGACAGGTAGTTGTCCTCTAGATTTCGTGGCACAACTTGGTAAGCACATTCAGGGCAGCACCTCTTGAAATATGTTAATTGGTATTCCATCAAACTTGGGGCCTTGTTTTGCGCAAATTCCTTTAGAGCAGCTTGAACGTCTTCATTCATCACCATTGTCTTGATCATATGTTGTTGTGTTATGTGCTGTCATGTCCCCTGCAACTCATAACGACCCTGTGTATAGCCGCCCTAAACCCTGCCCTATCTTGTGCCAATCCTATTGTCTCTGACACACTTACCCCCATTACCCCAAGGGTCTTCCTCTCCTGCGTGCCCCCCACCCTCCAAAACATGATGTCCCTCTCCAAGAACTAACTGGTTCCTCGTTGCAACATGTCCAAAGTATGTCAGATGAAGCTTCAGAATCCTTGCCTCCAAGGAGCAGCCTGGCTTCACCCTCTCCAGGACAAATCTGTTTCTTCTCCTAGCAGTCCATGGTCTATTCAGTATTCTTCTCCAACACAACAGCTCAAAGGCATAAATTCTCCTTCTTTCATCCCTAGTCATTGTTCAACTCTCTGATGCATAGCAGGTGATTGCAAAGACCATGGCCTGTATCATGCGCCCTTTAGTCTCCAGACTGACATCGTTGCTCTTCAGTACTTTAGAGTGGTCTCTAACTTCAGAGTTCCCCATCGCAACATATCTTTTAATTTCCTGGCTGCTGGTACCAGGAGTGTTGATTGTGGAGCCAAGCAAACTAAAGCTGTGAACAATCTCAGTCTCTTCACCATCCATCATGATGCTGCCAATCGGCCCAGTTTTCATGATTTCTTGATCATACATTGTTTTGTAAAATTCTCTGTCACTCATTTCTTTTTGGGTACAATGATGACTCTATGTAGTCCTTCTATCTTCATTTAGTGCTTCCTGGATCATTCAGTATTCTGCACATAGCATCCTTAAGTATTGCAGGTCAAGGCTTGAATTTGTTTTTTAGTTCCTTCAACTAAAGGAGTTTGATTTTCCAACCCCACCTCTTTGAACATTTTATTATTATACTCTGATTTGTCTTCCCGCACTGCCCTTTGAAATCTTCTGTTCAACTCCTTAATTTTTGTCAGCTTAAGAAATGCCAAACAAGTCCTTCCCTTTTGATTTTCCAACTTCAGCTCCCTGCACATTGCATTATAATACTTGGCTTTGTCTTCCCGACCTTTTGAAATCTTCTGTTCAACTTCTTAATTTCTTGATTTCTTCTCTTTGCTGTGGCTTTTTAGTGCTCTAGTGCAATAATCAGAGTGTTGTCTGACATCCATCGTGGTCTTTTGTTCGTGGTCTTTTGTTCCTGCTCTGTCTTTGTAAATGACTTCTTTTGCATTCTTCATGGATGATATTCTTGGTAAATCTCCCATAGCTTGTCTGGTCTTCGTTCATTGATGTTCAAGGCTGCAAGCCTGTTCCTGAGATGATTTTTACATTCATGTTGGGTAGACTTAGATTAAATTTTGGTTTCTGTGTATTTGATTTAACCTTCTGGAGCTTTATTTTGAATTTGTATATATAAGTGGTTGATGGTTTGTCTGTTTCACAGTCTGCCCCTGGCCTAGCTGATATGAGCTTCTCCAATTAAAGGAATAAAAAATTAAAATATGTTACATGTATTCAACATATGTAAATTTTTTTCAGCTTTGTGGCCCTGTTTTAAGGAATTTTGCTTTCAATGAGTTGCATTAAACTGATGCAACTGATGCAAATGGTTGTTCATACACCCTCCTCTGCAGATGCAAATAGGTCAGTCTGCTTCCAAGCAAATTTGTAGCCTTTCAAATCCTATGTGGCAGTCCTACTTTGCCCTAAAGAATTAGGGTGAGTGGGTTGTGTTTAGTGAATTCTTGTATGTGGATGATGTTATAGTAAGTGAGGGTGCAAACTGACATTTAATGTATAGGGGCCAAGTATATGAAAGATTTTTCATTGTCTTAGACTTTGTACAAATTACCTTCAAATCACTACACTGGGTTATGTGGATTTGATAAAAAATAAGAGAAGTCTTAGAGGAAAGAGTGAGTTTGTTAAGCTGTGTTCCAGCTATTCAAAACATTTTTATTTTGTTACAAATAAGATAAAATATATTGCTGAATCATAGTTCTTAAAAATCTTAACCTAATTACAATTACAATTGGCAAAATGATAGAAAACACGAATTTATTGCTTATTTAATTTCCCCTCTCCGTTTTGCATTAAAATTGTTAAGAACAGTATGCATTTTCTTACTAATTCATTGCTTAATATAGTGTATTGTTTACCTAATGTCAGTTTTGTGGTACCCTGATGATGCCGTGGTTAAAGTACTTGACTAACTGTGCCGTGGAAAAGAGAAGTGGTGGTCTGTTTTAAAGGCTTAGAAACCTTAAGAAGTAGGTCCTCACTGTCCTGTAGAGTCACTCTGTGTTGCATTGGAAATGTCTTAATGTCGATGTTAGTAATTGGTTCATGAAATTAATTTTCTTCTTTTAAGAATTCAGGCCTTGTTAAAATGGGTCAGTGACTCTGCACAAGTAGCTGCTATGAAGAGAAGTGGCAGAATGAGCTACATGTGCCCTAACTCTTCAGCAATAGAATATGGTCTTCTAATGCCATCCCCGTCACATTTGCACTGTGTAGCTGCAATTCTGTGGCATAGTTATGAGTTGCTTGTGGAGTATGACTTACCAGCACTGCTAGACCAAGAGCTCTTTGAGTAAGTATGATTTCCTCATAAATCTCCTTCTAAGGAATTCACTTGGTGAAACATCATATTTAAATCCTTATTTTAATGAAAATAATAGTTTTAAAGTGGTAATTAAAAAGAATCACGTATAATTTTGAAATGATACATCACAGAATTATTTAGCCTTGATGTTTTAAGACACTATGCTATTGATGGCTATCTTCTGTTTTTTTTTTCTAACTAAAAGCAAGGGCATAATGTATGCACTAGTATAAAATCAATCTTAGGTATTTGTTCTCCAGTGAAAATATGTATCCCAGAGTTTTAAAAAAATGAATCTGTTGAATATACATATACTTCAGAATTTTGAAAGACTAATACTCTCTTTAGTTTTTATGATTGTCCTTTTCACAAATAGATTACATTTAATGACATTCCAACATACCCAGCCCAGGGTTTGCTGAACTTACTTTTGGTATATAACAAAAGAAAAAATTCCATCATTCATAAATGATTGACATCATCCTTTATACCCTATCTTCATATGTGACTCTACTTTTTCTTGTAATGTATGACTTATTAGTAAAACTCATAATAGCTTTTAATTAAATGAAAATGTCATCTAATAAAATGAAAATGTTTGATATAAATTTCTCTAGTGTTTTTGGTAACCTTTTAAGGTTACATAGAATGTTAGAAGCAGAATAAAATATAGGTGAGATATATATATATATTTCTTTTCCCTCCCTTTTTTTTTTAGTTTTTTTATTATTTTGTGTGTGTGTACTGTCAAATCAGATCTAACTGGTACAGGAGGAGATTGTTCCTCCTTCTCCAGCAAAGCATCTGGTGGATTTGAACCGTGCACCTCTGCTTTCCTTTCTTTTTACAAGCCTAGTCTGCCTTAGTCTATGTCCTATGTCATGGGAAATATATCATTAGATAATTCCCAGACCAAACATTGACAATATTTGCTGTAACCATTAAATTGCCTATCAAAGTTATATTTAAAATTTGTGTTACTTTATATTATATCCAGAAAGCTAGATAATTTTGCCCAGTTTGTGTAAAAATATTTAAAACAATAATTTATATAGTCTCTTATTAACATAATTTCATTTATTTCCATAGGCTTCTTTTCAGTTGGTCCATGTCTCTTCCCTGCAATATGGTTTTGAAGAAAGCTGTTGACAGTCTGCTTTGCTCAATGTGTCATATACACCCAAATTATTTTTCTTTGCTCATGGGCTGGATGGGAATTACTCCTCCTCCAATGCAGTGTCACCATAGACTGTCAATGACAGATGATAGCAAAAAGCAAGATCTGAGCTCTGCTTTAACAGATGACTCGAAATATGCACAAGCACCTCCTGCACTAACTGAATCGCACCTGGCCACCCTTGCATCTTCTTCTCAGTCCCCAGAAGCTATCAAGCAATTATTAGACTCAGGTTTACCATCTCTTCTTGTGAGGAGTCTGGCTAGTTTCTGCTTTAGCCACATTTCTTACTCGGAAAGCATTGCTCAGTCTATAGATACTACCCAGGACAAACTCAGGCGGCATCATGCTCTACAACAGTGTAATAAGATGCCTATCACAGCAGACCTGGTTGCACCTGTTCTTAGATTTTTGACAGAAGTTGGCAATAGCCATACTATGAAAGATTGGCTTGGTGGTCCCGAAGTCAATCCACTGTGGACAGCACTTCTGTTTTTATTGTGTCACTCTGGTTCTACATCTGGAGGGCATAACTTAGGTGTACAGCAGACTAGTGCAAGATCCACTTCACTTTCTTCAGCTGCTCCATCAGGATTGACCACTCAGCAACGGACAGCAATTGAGAATGCAACTGTCGCGTTCTTTCTGCAGTGCATTTCATGCCACCCCAATAATCAAAAACTGATGGCACAGGTAATATAAGAAAATCTGGTTTGTAGTTCATAAGACTTATCTCATATACTATTGATAACTAGGTAAAGGAGGCAGATGAATTTAAAGTTTTGAAATTAGACCATGTTAAAAATAATGTATTGATATTCCTCCTTTCAAAAACACTACTAATTTTTTTTTATGAGATGATGGACAATTGAAGAGGATTCAAGCTTTGAATAATAATCTTGTTTATTAAAATTGCATTTATGAGAACAAGAAGCTCAAAAGAGTAGTTCTTGAAACCCACTATAAACAAAAGATTGTATATATACAGTTGTAGTACAATGTATATGAATTAGTGTGTGTAGATGTTTAAAATTATAAGTCAACTCATAGCAACTCTTTGTACACAGCCCTAAACTCTACCCTATCCTGTGCCAACCTCACTGTCTCTGAACCCCCCCCCCCAATTAACCCAGTCACTGAATCAATCCACCTCATAGAGTGGCTTCTTCTCCTACATTGTCCCTCCACCTTCCCAAGCATGACATCCCTCTCCAAGGACTGGTCCCTCCTTGCAACATGTCATAGTAACAGAGGAAAAAAGTATAGTTACTGATTACTTAATAATGGATGTTGTTGTTGTAGGTGACTCATAGCGACCCTATGAACAAAAGACCTGAACACTTGTATAACTTTCTTCATTTCTCCAAGTTCATTAAAGAGTTTCTTGAAAAATTACCTAAAATCCAGAAAACTATAACTATCAGAATTCTTTTTAGTTACATTTTATATTATTTTGTTCTTAGTTTCAAGTTTGAGTATATGTATAACATAGAGTTAGCAATACCTATTGGACATTTATTGTTAGGCTCAAGTATTATGTATATCAGATAACAAGATGTACTGGTAGCCCAGGTGTTAAGGTTTGGCTGCTAATTGTAAGGTCAGCAGTAGAAACCCATCAACTACTCTGTAACAGAAAGATGGGGCAGTCTGCTTTTATGAAGATTGTATATATCCTTGGAAAGAACTTGGGAGTGTTCTCAGTCATAAAAAGTTTCTTTGAATTAGAATCGACTGGATGGCAGCAGGGTTTTTCTCTGTTGTTTCGTTATATATAAAGACATAGGCAGACAATCAGCTCAGAAACAATGCATTGCCTTCAAGTTGTAACTGACTTATAGCTGACTATCCCATGTGTTTTCAGAGGCTATAAATTACCTAGGAGAGGATAGCCCATCTTTCTCCCGCAGAGCAGCTGGTGAATTAGAACATCACATCCTTGGGTTGGCAGTGCAATTCCCTTGCCACAAGACCATCAGAGTTCTCTGTCACTGTTGTTGTTAAGTGCCGTCGAGTCGTGGGTGACTCATAGTGACCCTATGAACGAAAAGTCCTCAACACTTGTGTGACTTTCATCCTCTCTCCAGGTTCATAGGGTTTCCAGAGGCAAGCTAATTACGTAAGCGGATGCCACTCCTGCTTCCAAGCTTGTTTTAACCAGGGAGCTCCACCAAACACTGTGCACCATGGGTAACCATTATTGCATTTGACACATCAGTGTCAGTGTTCAGCTTCACAGCAACCACAAGTAACCTCTGTACAGCAAGTGGACATGGACACAGCAGGGCTATATGACCTAGAAGAATGTTTCACCAGAAACAATTAAAGACAGGCCTTAGGGCCGTGGAGTCACCCACCTTTGACTTGGTAGCATCACTTTTGGTCCACTAGGCCAACTGCTCACTCTCTGTGTTTTTAAGTGCCTTCGAGTTGTTGTAGGTGACTCACAGCAACCCTAGGAATGAAAGTCCTTGGCACTTAGGTGCTTGACTTTCATCCTTGGCTCCAGGTTCATAGGGTTTCTGGAGGCAAGGTATTAATGGAAGTGGACTCTGTCACTAGCAAATTATTGTCTTCCCTTCACAACTTATTTTAAACTGTTTGTTCATGTCAAACGACCAATTTCTATGATCAATGCTATCATCATTTTTAAAAAAATCAAGTAACTTGACTGTTACGTAGAAGATTGTGGATTTTTTACCAACTAATAATTTAATACTGGGATAATACACTTTGGTCTCTAGTTAATATGTGCATCCTTTTTAAAATACTTAACATTTTTAATAAGGTTCTATCATTTTGTCAAAATCTTAATTAGCAATTTCTCTTACAGAGATTTTGATAGCACTTTCAATTTTTAATCTGCTAAATTGATTCATTAAAATGTATTTGGTAATCCACATTCTTTATTTTCCATTCAGTCTTCAAAATGAAAAATTTCAAATAAATACTGCCTTTAACTGTTTAAATAACTTTCCTTGCTAGGTTCTCTGTGAACTATTCCAGACATCCCCTCAAAGAGGGAACCTTCCAACATCTGGGAACATTTCAGGGTTTATTCGAAGATTATTTTTGCAGTTGATGCTAGAGGATGAAAAAGTGACAATGTTTCTTCAATCTCCTTGTCCAGTGAGTGTATAACACTTTAAAGTTAAAACTTGACTAGCTGTAAAGATATCTTGTAATTTGAAATTTTTTGTTGTTACTGTTATGTGCATCGAGTTGCTTATGACTCATAGCAACCCTATGTACAACAGCCCTGAAACCTGCTCTATCCTGTGCCAACTTTACCGTCTCTGACACACCGATCCTCATTATCCCAGTCACTATCAGTTCATCTCATCAAGGGTCTCCCTCTCTGCGTACCTTCACTCTTCCAAACATGCTGTCCCTGTCCAAGAAACAGTCCCGCCTTGCAACATGCCCAGAGTATGTCAGACAAAGCCTTAGAATCCTTGCCTCCAAGGAGCAGACTGGCTTCACCCTCTCTAGCTCGAGCCTATTTATTCTTCTGGCAGACCATGATATATTCAGAACTCCTCTCTAGCATTACAGCTCAAAGGTAACAGTTCTCTTTCTGTCATCCCTAGTCAATTTCCAGATTTAAGCTTCTGATTTCTAATGCAGAAGACTAAAATAGAACATTTATTTTTTTTTAATGGCGATATTTTTGTGTACTGTCGAGTTATAACGAACACATAGCTGACCCTCCGAGGGTTTTCAGAGACAATATAATTGCTAGGAAGAGGTTGCCCATCTTTATCCGATGGAGCAAATTAAGGATTCGAAGCACATACCTTTGAGATGGCATCACATGATAGAGCTTGAAAATTATTTTGGATAACTCCTCTGCTTACAACAACTGAAGTATAGTTTACTCTGAGTATTGTAATTTGATTGGGGGGAGAATAGAGAAATTTAGACCAAACAGCTAATGAAAAACTGAACCTAAGAGGAAAAAAAACTTAGTATATAAACATGTCATATCTAAAGATACATGTATTGTATATTTTGTATATATTAATAACTTATTACATGAATTATTATCTTGAAACTTTCATACTGTTGTACATTCCAAAAAGTTACTTTACTTCCTTTGAATTATTTTACAGCTGTACAAAGGCAGAATTAATGCCACTAGCCATGTCATCCAGCATCCAATGTATGGAGCAGGCCACAAGTTCCGTACTCTTCATTTACCAGTCTCAACTACATTGTCAGAAGTTCTTGACAGAGTATCAGGCAAGTCAGAATTATGTATTTTCCTTAACTTTATACATATGTGATATTTTATTAACTTTTATGAAATTATGTATTTTACTGCGTTCACTTTTTAGCAGCAGTCTGAATACATCAAGGCATCTTCAAAAATTTTTTTTTCCAAGTTGATTTTTATGTTATTTTCCTTTTTACAAGTTTTTCTGCTAAGATTAATGGCACACTATTTATAAGAAGTCTCAGGGAAATGTTTTCCCAAAAGCTCAAGTATAAACTGAATAAGTCCATAATTTCTGATATTAACAGGTCCATCCATGGCTCAATTTCCCAGTTCTTTTGTGGCCGTGGTTTTAGTAATTCACTCGATCGTGTTCTAGAGACTCAGAGTTATTAGAAGAATAACTCACGTGACTAGGTATGCCAGCTTGTTTTGGTGAAACTAGTGAGTAATGGGCTGGAGTCCTGTAAACTGTCTATGGTGCCACAACTGGATGACGACTGTGAGGATCCTGTAGACAGTCAGTTGTGGTACAGCTGGATGGCAACTGAATCATGCCAACTGGATACTGTGTCTCAGGCGTACGTTCCACAAAAGAAAAATGGTACATCTATAGAATGATTTGTTATAACAATAATTTTTAATAAATCTGTGCTGTAAAATAGTACTTCAGCTCTTGAATTCTTGAAGTATATTTGATTAAATTAAGAAATCAATGTTTTACTTTAAATTGATTTTGCAAAAGCATCTCTACTGGAATAGGAATAGAGTGCTAAGTTGGAAAACGTAGCATAGACCTAGCCATAATTGAGTTCCATTTCTTAGGATAAACCCTTCCCTTCCTGGAACACTGTCACAAATTCACTGGGCTTTATACTTACAACCTACTCTAGTCCAAGCAGGTTGTTCCCCTTCTTTATATATCTGTATAATTTAAACATTTAGAAGTCATACTGGTTTTTAATTCAATTATTCATATACATTTTGTTTTATAATGTCAATTATAGTTTATTTTTATCATTAGTTAATTAATTAATTAATTACAGTGTCTGATATTATATGTTGCCTTTCCTTTCACCCAACTTGCCTATAATTTTTATTACCCTCTTCCTCCATTCCCATCCCTGGTAACCATCCAAAAGTGATTCTTATTTGCGTGTAAATTTTTCTTTTCCTTGTTATAATAGTGGACACAGCATAATTTCTTTTAAATTCACCCATGTTTTTGGTGTTTCACAAATTCTAATTCTTTAATATTGTGTCATCACATTGTGTGAATGTCTCTTAGTTTCTTTAGCCATTCCACTGTTGTTCCCTGGATTATTTATTTCTTTGCAGTTGTAAATAATGCTGCGGTGAACATGACTCTGTATATATCTGTCAAAGCTCCTTTATCTTGCTATATCAAATGTTACTTCTACTTCCAACTTTCAAGCGAAATAATGTGTTTTCTGTAGAGACTGTACCAGTTTACATTCTCACCAGCAGTGTGTTATAGTTCGTCTTTTTATACTACTGTTGCCAGCATTTACTGGTTGCTATGTTTTTGAGCTTTGAAGCATATATCTTTCCATATTTATTCCCATTTCATAAAAATGTGTCCTGACAGAATGTGGAAATTATCATGCAATATCACGTGTAAGCAAAATCTTGCTGAAGATTATCCAAAAGCAACTGGAACTGTATGTTGACAGAGAACTACCTGAAATATAAGGTGGATTTAGAAGAGTCCATGGCACTAGGGATATCATTGTATCAAATGGATCTTAGCAGAAGGCAGAAAATAGTAGAGGAATATCTATCTATGTTTCATTGACTATGCAAGGAGTGGATCACAACAAATTGTGGTTAACCTTGAGGAGAATGGGATTCCCAGAACACTTAATGTGCTTATGTCAAATTTGTACTTAAACCAGGAAGCAGTCCTCCGAACAAGCTAGGAAACTTTGCATGGTTTAAAATCAGGAAAGGAGTGTTTTGAGGATGTGTCGTATCTGCGTACTTTTTTATTCTGTATGCAAATTATTCAGGAGGCAGGGCTTTGTGAGGAGGAGTGTGGCATCAGGATTGGAGGAAGACTCATTAACAACCTAGGATATGCAGATGACACAACCTTACTTGCTGAAACTGAGGAGGACCTGAAGCACTTGTTGCAAAAGATCAAGGACTATGGTCTTCAATATGGATTGAAACTCAATATCAAGAAGAAAAAGATTCTCACCATTGGGCCAGTTGGTAACACCATGATAGATGGAGAAGAGATTGAGGTTGCTAACAATTGCAGCTTGGTTGGCTCTACAATTAACACTCTTGGCACCAGGTGTCAGAAAATCTGAAGAGAAACTGCATTAGGTAGATCTGCTGTCAGGGACCTCTCCAGAGTACTGAGAAGCAGTGACGTCAGAGTAGAGACTAAAATGTAAGCCTTTTCCAGGCCATGGTCTTTGCAATTATTGCTATGCATTTGAGAGCTGGACAGTGTCTAAGGATAACAGAAAAATTGATTCCTTTGAGTTTTGCTGGAGAAGAGTCTTGAACGTACCATGGAGTGCCAGAACAATAAATAGTTCTATCTTGGAGAGGGTGAAACTAGCATTCTCCTTGGAGGCTGATTTTGAAGTTCTGTCTAATAAGATCATGTGGCCAGGAGGGACCAATCCTTAGAGAAGGACAACGTGCTTAGAAGGGTGGAGGGATAGCACAAGAGAGTAAGACCCTGGGTGAGATTAATTGATACAGTAGTTACTGTATTGCCTTAGTTAAGGCAATGAGGGTTGGTATCAGAGTCAGTGAGACTGGCTCAGGACAGGGCAGGCTTCAGAGCTATTGTACAGGAGTTGCTGTGAGTCGCAGGCAACTCACAGCACATAACAACAGCAAGAACATGTCTGATTTCTTCATGTTTTTGTTGCTCATTCACCAATGTTAACTTTGATGAATTTTCTTTTTATGTGTAGCAGAACACTTGGGTTGGGTGCTCAGTCAGCTTAATTTTTATGACTCTTACAGTTGACTGACTGGGTCAGCTGTACATAACAAACAACAAACTTTAGTTGATTAAAGCCCTAAGATTTTAGTGTGTTACAGCACATCTCTCAACATCGAGAGCATTGAGCAGTAATGGCTCTTGAATATACTACCAGCTACATGGTGGGGGATGGGGATGGGGAGAAAATGTTGAACAAGGAGAGAATAGCATTTTTACAGTTGCAGATCAGACAGTGACAGCCTATTCAAAATGTTCAAAAAAACAGTATCATTGAAGTCTGGTGGAAAGAGCTGTGTGAATTTCTAGGAGAGAATCAGTAATGTATATCAAAGAGCTTGAAGAAGAATGACTAAGGAAACATGTTTTCTGTTGGTACAAAAGCAACAGTTATGCTAACTTGTCCCTGTTACAGAATAGTGTTATAAAAATAAAATTACAAAAGGAAAAAAAAACCAACCCAGCTGTATTCTTTGTAATTCTATGCTCCATCTCAATGCTTTCTTGTTATTGGCACTGCCTCTTTTCCTTTTCAAGAGTTATCATCCATATCTATTCTATTTATTTTCTGATACCTTAATTGAAGAGGTTCTGGGATGCTGTCTTAATTCTGGTAAATCTTCCCTATTATGCTTTTCATTTAGTGGATTCCTCACAGGTGTATGCTGTTTGAGTTATTAATAACTTGAAAGAGACCTTCTGTAGGTCGCTAGCATTCTCTACCTGAACACATCTCTCCTTCCTGCCCAAGTGCCCTGCTACCTCTAGTCAGTATCTTTGTCTTCATGTACTACTACTATTCCATATATTCAGCATAGCTTGACAGCTTAAGTTTTGTTCTACTGAGACCAGGGGAAATTTCTCTTTGTACAATAAGGTTTAGCAATCCTAGTCATAATCTACTCTTTCAGTTGTTACTCTCCTGCCTTGCCTGACACGCAGAATCTGAAACCCATTATTTTATATATTATCCTACTATTTTAAGTATTGAAGTCCGATTTGTATAAATATTCTTGCCATTTTTTGATTACTTCTGTTGTGTTTTGTTTTTCATTTTTTCCTTCATTTAAAAAAAAATACATTGAGAAGAGACACATTTTAACTGCATCCACAGAATTAAAAATATTTCTAATATCGAACCAGTTCTTCCAGTCTTTCAGATTTCTTATTGGCTAGATAAGTTATATTGTCCTCTCACTTATATTACAGTTCTTATATCCTGTTCTTGTTAAGTGCCTTCAAGTCAAACATGACTCATAGCGACCCTATGAACAAAAGACCTAAATCCTGTTCTGTAACTATCATCATTTCTCTACGTTCATAGTTTCCAGAAGAATGTTGTTTAGGAAATGGATGCCACTTCTGCTTCCAAGCCTGTCTCAATCTGGGAGCTCCATCAAACACTGTCCACAATGGGTAACCATTATGGCAATTGACACGTCAGTAGCACAGTTTTCAGTATCACAACAACCCCAAGTTACTTGGGTATAGCAAATTGATAGACTAGCACTGTACCACATAGAAGAATGTTCATCCCAACCACACTTAACACCAGGTCCAAGGGCACACCGTCAAAGCTCGCCCACTACGTCCTGATTGATTCTAGACAAGAGGCTTACCCACCTACAGCTCCTTATTAGCTAAAAATATATTTAATTCAATAATTAATTGTCTATTTAAACTTTTAGTAATAATTTTTACCTAGTTAAAATGTTGTCTCTGTCATAACCAAATGAAATATTCATAATAAAAAATCTCTAAAATGTATTAATTTTTAAATGTATATTTTTAGTGTAAATATAGGGCTTTGAGCTTTAAACGTCTATTTACAACTTATATTGTGTTGGTGTTAGTGTCTTCTTTAAAACTTAATTTCCTTAGTTTGAAATAATACTCTCTCAATATGCACACACCAGCCTTATTGCTGTTGAGTTAGTCTTGACTCACGGTGATTCTGTAGTGGATGTGTAAGGCTAGAAATCTTGAAGGGAGGAGTATACGCATATCTTTCCTACAAATTGGCTAATATGTTTAATTGATTAATTTTCTGTTAACACAACATGTAACTTGCTAAACCACCATAACAACTTCATATGCATGTAATAGCAACAAAAAACCCATTTTCATTGAGGCAGGTCCAACTTATAATGACCTTCCCATTCTGGGTTTCTGGGGCTGTAACTCTTAACAGGGGACTGCTCATCTTTCTCCGATGCATTAGCTAGTTAGTTCCAACCACCTGACCTATATCATATGCTACACCACTAGGGCTCATAAATGGTGATATCTAAATTAGATACAAATATTTTAAGCACATGAATAAAATAAAACACATTTTCCTTGTAATTATTTTTACTACCTCTTGATCTGTTGTTATTGCTGTTCTCTGTCAATTGATTATATCTTATGGGTGCTATTATATGCAGAATATATCTGTCCTATGAGATTTTCATGACCCTGCCTTTAAAGGAAACTTTCCAGGTATATCTTCCCAGGCTTTTCTGGATGGGTTTTAACTGCTAGTCTTTTATGCTACCCAGATATGTCATGCCTGGAGCTTTGTAGTATTAGAACATATAATGTCCTCTGTTGTTTTCTGCCCTCATGTCAGAACCAATTCATCAGCTGACCCTCCAGTGCATTTTTCGAAATAGTTAATCACACGGTTTGAGATTGCCCATTTTTCTCCCACGGAATAGCTGTGGCAGTGAACTGCATGCCTTGAAATTGCAACACAACTTCTTACCACTGGGCTACTAGAGTTACCTAAATGTCTTCTAAAGCTTGGAATTTAAGTGTACTTACTTACTTAATTATGGTGATTTCTCCTTCCTAATAACAATAATAAAATACCCTCTGAAATATTTTACAGATACTCCTAGTATCACAGCTAAACTCATTAGTGAACAAAAAGATGATAAAGAAAAGAAAAACCATGAAGAAAAAGAAAAAGTGAAGGCAGAGAATGGATTTCAGGACAATTACAGTGTTGTTGTTGCCTCTGGTAGGTCTTTTATTTTTTTGTAACCTTAATTTTAAATTATTATATCTGTTTCATGTCTCAAGCACCCCATATGTTATATGAAGAATTATGTTCTTAGAGTTCATATTGCAAAATTTAGATAACCTGTTTAGTTTTCTAAATTAGAATTTTTAGTTTTCCTTTATAATTAAGTTTTCATATAAAATTAGAAAGCAGAAAATATGTTTAAAAGGACTCTGCTATAATGTGAGGAGGATCAAGAAAATCACAACAGAAACTTTTTTGTAGGATTCTTAATTTTTTTAAAATATAGTTAGAATTACTTTTATTCCAAAAAGAAGACACTTTGTAGAAGGCCTTATTCCTTAGTTTGATCTCTGATAGAAAAACTGTGCATTCTTTCTTGGAGAAAAATTACAAACACTAGCACTTCTTCAGCATAGTAAATTGATGATAATGTCCCTCAGAAGTTAAGAGCAAGTTCCCATTTCTTAAAAAGTACTAAACCTACCAGCTCATGGCAACAACTCTCTTACAGATTTCCAATAATAAATCCTAATGGGACAAGTGTTATTTTTGTGTACCACTTAGTCAAAACCAACTCCTAGCTGCCCTTTAGTAGATTTTCAGTGATTGGGGCAGCTGGTGGATTTGAACATATGTCTTTGGGTTTGAAGCATATCTCTTTACCAGCAAGGCACCAGAGCTTCCTAAATATTAATAGACTGCCTTATCTTTCTCTAGAAAAGCTGCTCTTGGATACAGACCCTCAGTGTTTTGGCTCAACATGTTAAACATTCTGCTACTAGGGCTTGTACAGTTGTAAATTCTAAGTTAGTTATGCTTTGTCATGGTAAACATAACATAGAGATGGGCAAACATAACTGTGAGATTTAATACTGTAGTAGAGCAAATACTAGCAATGTGGTGGTTTTTATTAAAATATCTCGGGCACACATTTTCCTATCTGATCCTAATGTTTTGACTTAATAGAATCTTCTTGGTTCTTACAGGATTGAAATCACAATCTAAGCGTGCTGTGTCTGCTACACCACCTCGCCCACCATCAAGGAGAGGGAGGACAATGCCTGAAAAAATAGGGAATGCTTCCTCAGGAGCAGAGACTGCCAACAAAATGATTACTGTCCCAGTGTTTCACCTGTTTCACAAACTCCTGGCAGGTAATGTTCAGGATAAAACTCACCCATGGAATTTTAATAATTTGATCTAAATAAAAAATATAAACATTAGTGTGGTTTTTAATCATTATTAATTTAAATATTCATAAACTTAGGGTAAAATCTGTTTGTTGAATAATCTGATACAAAATTTAACTGGATGCCCTACATTTCATTATTCCATACTTTTTTCCCCCCTAGAAGTCTTTGTCCCCATTTAATACTAAAGCTTTGAGGTTACATGAAGCAGTTTCTTCTTCTTTGTTGTTAATTATTATGATACTAGTAAATGATGGGGGGTTTTTCCTCCCAGACGATATTTATAGTTTAATGTAAGATTCATTATGTAGAAATATTACTGAAGAATTAAATAAATGAGTTAATGAGACTTTCTCTGTATAATTGTATTTAAGTCAAATGACAACAAAAGAGACTTCTATCTGTTCTGTAGGACTATAAGGTTGCATGTTTCTTTTTTAATTTGCTTGCCAAGTTTTAGTGCCACAGTGAGCGGTATAATTCATGTTTAGTGATTCTATTGGAAAATAAGAAGCAGTGTGGGTCAGACTTTTTTAGGAGTTGGTTTAACAATAAAAATATTAGATATGCTACTAATTGTCAACAATATATTTTCCCTTCCTACAATAAATTATGGGGCAGATGCATTTCCATTGATCAAACTTACATCCTTTTTATTACTATTTAGTTTTAATCAGATTGCTGACAAACTTTGAGTACATTTCCATTTTTAGCTTTACATTATCTGCTTATATGAGAAAAGGGAAATGAGCCTATTTTGTAAATAAAGTAGTGAAATGTCACATCCTTTTGTTTATATGTTATCTGTAGCTATTTTCATGCTGCAGTGACACAGTGAGTTTAGTAATCACAATATAAACATAATTGGTGGCAGAGCCTCAAATAGTTACTCTCTTATTCTTTACAGAAAGCTTTCCAGCCTCCAGTTTATTATATTATCTTTTCTTGTGGTCCAGTAATCACAAGATCTTGATCAAATTTGGGTAACAACTAAATAACACTCTACCTACGTTATTATTCACACGTTAGAAATAAATTAAAATGTCTGTGAAATTTCCCTGTGCTGATTTTAACATTTTTTGTGAAATTAGTGTCAGAAATAAACTCATCTTTAATTTGTAAAGACAATAATATACTATACCAAATCCAGTTCATGTCTCCTTAGATCCCAAGTTTAACTTAGTTATGTTGATTTTAGGCCAGCCGTTGCCTTCGGAAATGACACTTGCCCAGCTCTTAACTCTCCTGTATGACCGAAAACTTCCTCAAGGTTACCGCTCAATAGATCTGACTGTTAAGTTGGGTTCAAGAGTTATCACAGACCCAAGCCTATCAAAAACAGACTCATTTAAAAGGTTGCACACTGAGAAAGGTAAGTATCTAATACTCCTTTAAAATTATACTCTATCAAATGAGGAAGGAAAGGTTTTTACAGCAAATGACTTAGTTGACTTGTATTTTTACATTTGTCAGTTTACTAATGCAACACTTTTTGTTTACTATTTAGTTGTTTCTATAATATAAAATCTTGTTTTTTTAAAAAAGTGGAGTATATATTTGTATTCTTTGAGAATTAATAGTAAATTTATTTTGCTCAGATTTTTTCAGGATTATCTGTCTCTGAGTATTCATAGTTTGGTTATGTGTTGAACAGATTTTTTTTTGGTTTTTTCCTTTGAGAATAATTCAAATGTAAAATAATATGGTATAATTTTATATTCTAGTTAAAGAGGATTTTGTTATTACTTGGAATTTTTCTCATTAACTCCTTTAGAGGATAACATATAGGTAGTAGTAATATTTACCGATAATCTCTAGGACAAAGGACTTACTAAATTTAACATATAATTTAAGTTATAACTAGGTTCTGAAAGCTAGTACTTTTTAAACTTTAATAGGTTTATAGATTGCCCACACAACTTTGTTCCTAGCTTCTGAAAACTAATACTTCATACGTTTTAGTAAAGTTTATAGATTGCCACTCAAAAAATGCAAATTCTTACTTGATTTGTCTAAAGTAGGGTTTGAGGAACTATATTTCTAATAAGCCCTCAGGTTATGCTCCGTTTCAGTCTTTAACTTTGAATGAGAAGTCAAAGGTTGCCGTAGCATCTAACTTTAATACAAAAGATCTGAGTACTTTCGTTCTTTTGATGATTAGAGATAATTACAATATCTGCTTTTAGAAATGAAAGAATATGAATACAGATCCTTTCTTATCTGTTAGTTTGTGCAATATTTCTAGATCATGGAGAGTTACTTGGAAGTTGTCCAGAAGATGAGGCTCTGACTCCAAGTGATGAGTCTATGGAAGGAATACTAGATGAATCTTTACTTGAAACCTGTCCAATTCAATCACCATTACAAGTGTTTGCAGGAATGGGTGGATTAGCTCTGATTGCAGAACGTCTACCCATGTTATATCCAGAAGTTATTCAACAGGTAAGATAAAATTCCTAATTGAAATGTATTCCAAAGTGAAGCCATTTTTTTCAAAACATCTTGTTACATTTCAGGCACATACAAACCAATGACCAAGCTTGTGTCTTTTATTGGTATTCACTCTAGTAACTTGAAACCACAGACATAAGCAGTCTTGCAGCAGAGTTTACAAGTAAAATATATGCAAATGTTTGTTCACAAAGGTCACATGTATAGGTAGGCACATGAATTAGAAGCATGTGTCTGGATTTATGGCCAGACTATTTTTACAATATAAAGTTACATCTTGAAACTATGAAGAAATGGTCTAAACACTCCAGAATTAGTTGGTACCACAGGTGTAAGGCAGCTACAGGATTCCAGTGAGAAGAAATAAGATCTTGACAAATTACTGCTGGTCAAAGAGAACAGGAATATTTTTACATTTCACTGGAAATACATTGACTAGAAAAATACTAAGTCTAGCAAGAACTTAGGGATAAATATTACAGATCTAAACCCAAACATGTAACATTTTTAATTACTTGAATAACAGCATGACATTCAAACTGCACCTGCATCCTAAACAGCGATCACATTAATAACATTTTAAAAAATTAAAATGCAACCAAAAAGCTTCAAATTCCTATTGAAAAGTAGACAAGGCTCAGATATGAGTGTGGAATGTTGCAAATGAAAGTAATGAAAAAACGGTTAATACTTTCTAAAGAATGGATTAATTAATTTTTTTTTTTGCATTGCTCTGAAGCTTGGAGTTACTAATTTGCACTTCTCTGAAATGTTTGTACATCTTTTTCTTAATGGTGTAATTTCTTAAAAGTAGCTTTCAGTGTTAGTCTCTACATAGGGTATGTCTCTAAAGATATTGTGATAAAACAACTGCTTTTGATTAACTTTATACGTATTTTTCACTGAAACATTTAAACACTTGAAGAGTTATCTAGTAGTTGATCCACTAAAACAAGAGTATTGGAATTTCTTCTACCAGTACTGTAAAAAAGTTAGCTTTAAAAACAAAAGTAATTCTTTAAAAATAAAATGTTAGGCTTCTTACACATCTTTCTTCTGTCCTCTTCTGATAAATTATGCAGAAAGTTCTTTAGTTTTTGTTGATGAGGCTGCTGCAGTGAATATTCTTTGCAACATCTTTATTTGTAGAAAAGAGTGAACACAACTTACTGTAAACTCTTAATTTAGGTATCACATAGTCCATACCAACAAGATCATTGCGCTGCTGTGATCCAATTCTGTGCCGATCGGGGATTATATAGCCTTTGCTGTCATTACTTTAGCCATTTCACTTGTCTCTGCCTTTTCACTTGTATCTTTGTTGGAATCATCAACACTCTTATTTGTCTCTGTACTTTCTTCATCTTTAATTCTAACACTTCTCCATTTATTTATTTCTTTTTTTTTTTTTGCATGCCTCTTTTCAGTTTATTGTATGAAAGTGTTACACTAGTTCAAGTTAAAAGTAGACCCCACATGGTTACATTATACAAGCTGTGACGTTTTAAACTTGTGACAAGGGACAGAAGGGAAATTGTCTACTCATTGCAAGGAAATCCTCACTTAAGTTTCAGTGAGCCACAAGCACTTAAAACCCATGAACCTTCAGCTGGTTGTTCTCACCCAGTCCAATCTCTACAAGAAACTGGCATATGTTCTTGTGCTGGTCACCTTACAGCTAAATTACTTCTCCATATTCTGGATGCTCAATTACAGTACCATTGCAGGCAAACTTCTTAAACGCCTTCACTAGTTTTTTTTTTTATCGTAATCATCAACGATCCCTTGGACAGTTGTAAGGGTCTTCCTGCCGTTTCTCTGTTGAATTCTTTTATGGATATAATCCTCAGTCCCAGCAGGAAGCAGGTCATCACCCTTACTTGCATTGCAAAGGGGTCTAAAGAGTGGAGGTTCTGGATAGCGGACATACGATTGCTTTTCCT